CGGCCGACGTGGCACACCTTCCATGACCGCACAGCCCGTCTTCTATCCGATCTGCCATGCACATGTACACGACAAACCACGTTTGTGAGAATCTCAAATACATATGCGCTGACATGCACATATCTGATGTCACACAATGCGTGCATTCATATTGTCCTACCTGTTCACACAGTGCTAATCTTAAGCTGGCCGATCCGTTTCCGCGCACGCCCTGACCAGGCTAGTGGTCACGCGGCGCTCACCAGGCACGAGGCGCATGCGCAGGTCGTCTCGCAGCATGTCTAGCGCCAGGTAGTAGGATGGCTCTTCCACGAACACCAGGCTGCCCGTGTCGAAAAACTGCGACACCACCAGGTGGAGTGCGTGCGTGGCGCCGCACGTCAGCACCAGACTGGCGCTGGGAGCGGGTATCACAGGTCAGCACAGACTGGCGCTCGGGGTGGGTACCACAGGTCAGCACAGACTGGCGCTGAGGGCGGGTACCACAGGTCAGCACACACTGGCGCTGGGGGCGGGTACCACAGGTCAGCACAGCCTGGCGCTGGGGGGGCGGGGTACCACAGTCCAGGCACAGACTGGCGCTGGGGGCGGGTACCACAGGTCAGCACAGACTGGCGCTGGGGGGCGGGTACCAAAGGTCAGCACAGACTGGCGCTGGGGGCGGGTACCACAGGTCAGCACCAGACTGGCGCTGGGGGCGGGTACCGCACGTCAGTACCAGACTGGCGCTGGGGTCGGGTACCTCAGGTCAGCACCAGACTGGTGCTGGGGGCGGGTACCGCAGGTCAGCACCAGACTGGCGCTGGGGTCGGGTACCGCAGGTCAGCACCAGACTGGCGCTGGGGTCGGATACCGCAGGTCAGCACCAGACTGGCGCTGGGGGCGGGTACCGCAGGTCAGCACCAGACTGGCGCTGGGGGCGGGTACCGCAGGTCAGCACCAGACTGGCGCTGGGGTCGGGTACCGCAGGTCAGCATCAGACTGGCGTTGGGGTCGGGTACTGCAGGTCAGCATCAGACTGGCGCTGGGGGCGGGTACCGCAGGTCAGCACCAGACTGGCGCTGGGAGCGGGTATCACAGGTCAGCACCAGACTGGCACTGGGATGGGTACCACTGGTCAGCACTAGACTGGCGCTGGGGGCAGGAGCCATCGGCCAGCATCAGACTGACAGAGGGGAGCGGGCACCAGAGATCAGCAGCGGACTGCTGTATGGGGGTGATCACGGTGGTCAACGCCAGTCACTGTGGGGGGGGGCACCAGAGGTCAGCAGCAGACTGCTGTATGGGGGTGATCACAGTGGTCAACGCCAGTCACCGTGGGGGGCACTGGAGGTCAACGCCAGACTGGCGCTGGCGACGCCACCAGACATTATCGTCCACACTATCTCACCAAGCTGCCACTGGGAGGTGGAAGGGGGGGGGGGGGGGGGGTCGCAGAGGGTGCAGCCTGAGCCGGGGCAGCGCTCAATCCCCAGCCGGGCCGGGTCTGGTGCGCCCCTTTGACGCGGACGCGCCACAGGCACCGACGCCTTCCTGGACGGCCTGAGCTCCCTGCTGCCGCGGAGCTCTGGCTTCACTGCATACAGCTGAGGGTACTTAACTGCACTGACCATCAGTCAGGCATGCAAGAATACGCAGATAGCAACTACCAATGACTGTTGAGCCGTACCTGCTGACTGCTCGGTCGTAGCGCTGGGAGAGAAATTGTCAATGATTGTTGGGACGTACCTGCTGACTGTTTGGTTGTAGCGCTTTGAGAGAAATTCCGCGAGCGTTGTGCGGAAGCGGTCACTGCCCAGCTGGGGTCCATAGTTCAGATTCGGGCAGTTGGGTGGTTCCACATCCTAGAAATAAACACAATGGTGATGGCATACAGAATCCTCAGATATAAGGATCGTCCATAGATGACGTTGTGATGTTCTCATAATGCTGCTGGCGGCAAGAATCTAGGTCACAGCAGTGTGAACACATGCTTCAGTGATCTAAGAAAATACCATACAAGTTCCAGCCTGCTTGGGCTTTGGGCAATATCCAGTATCTTACGATGGCATGGGCAGTAGCAGAACTAAGCAGGGCCTTGGCTCGTTTCAGAATATCTTCGTTATGTCCGCCGTAAGCCAGGCTGAGCGTGTTGGGCTCAGCTGGCAGGTCCTCTAGCTCATTATTCCCGGAATCCATGGCTCTATAACCAAATAACATTGACATGTTAGATGTTTTGCGTGTCATGTGTATGCAAACACACACACATGCACACACACACACACACACACACACACACACATATATATATACATATATATATATATATATATATATATATATATATATGTGGCCCAATCTTTATCTAAATTCATTGCTTGATGTTTTCAACACACTGCATATTCATTCTTAAAAACAAAATCTGGCCTATCGGTTCTTGGCAGCAACTGACACACATAGTCAGAACATAAAACATGAACCTACAAATAACAATAAACTTCTCGGGAGATGTCATTCACCATCGCTCTGGCTTGGCACCAAGTATTCGGCTCATGAGACGAGTACTGTAGTCGCGTCGCACGTGATCTCCCGGTGTCCTTCCCTTAAAGTGCATTGTGAGACGTCGGGACAGTCGCGATGATGTAGTCACGCCAATGTAGCATATGGAACGAAGCCCACAGTTTTGGTTAGGGCAAGAAACTGTTTGCGCTGCATCAGGAACTCAGCCAGGCTTTCTTAAGGACACAGCTTGCCAAGGACGAATTACGCTCATTTCTCAACTTTCTGTAGGGAGTCCTCTATGGTGAAAAAGGAAAAGTCCGGGCCTATGGAGGGGTCCGGCCCAATGTTACTGCCTCGGCTACATCTGTATGCTACATTAACGTCCTTCACCATATGCGTCTCGATTTGCTTGCACTTCATAGAGATCTCTAGTGCAGTGATTTTTAAAAAATATGTCTGCAGTCTAAGCCTATTGCAGTCCACCCTTGTGACGTCTTTGGAAACAACAGTTTACAATATTTTCCCGATTTTGTTGGCGAAATTCATATGCTTAACGTGGTGGATGTTCTGAACAGCCTGATTTTTGTTTTGTTAGTGGTTAAAATGATTATCAAACATCTCATTTATTTCTTTGTCAGCACTAGCATTCCCATGCTCTTGTTTACTAGGAACTGTTTGACGCGATTGAGTTTGGCATGCACAAATTCTTGGTTTGAGAATATATGCGATGTTCTGTGAATACATGCTCTAAAAGTGCCCTTCTCGAATCGTTTGGGATGTTCAATGTAAGTGTGCATGGTGATTCCAACAGTAGAGAGCTTCCCATGCATGGCAGTTACGAGGCACTTCCTAGGCTCTACCAGCACATGGAAGAAAGGAAATATATTGTCCTGGCTTTTCTCATATGTGAAGTGAGTAACCCTCAAATGTTGCCATGAGATGGAGCAATCATCTAACCCCTTTACACCAACCATGATGTTTCTGATGGGCCTGCAGTATGCAGTGGAAGTGATCAAAGAGCCACTAAGCAGTACATTTTCAACATGAGTTATGCAAAAATTGACAAACAAATGGCAGACAGGGAATCCAATCACCACCCCATCATTCTTTACATGTAGTTTGCCACTAGGGCTTTTAAATGAGGCATCAACATTTCTCTGTAAGGCATACATCATAGGGGTTTGTGCATGTGCATGCTGCAAGCAAGTGGAACTGTACTGAACTGAACTGAACTGCAAGTGGAACACACCAAGCAAATACCAGAAATGGTGAAGTTGTACATGGGTCTTTAAATGCTGAAATTGACAATTGACAAACTGACAAAATGCATGCCCAATTATCACTTTCAATCACCAGTGAAAATCTAAGAACCAATTTTTCCACAATATCTACCACATAACCAATTCATAAATACCAATTCTGAAAAATGTTTTTGAAGAATTGTTTATTACAGTGCCTAAAAAGCTAGCAAAGACAGACAGGAATATGCCACAGGTTACACACGCATCATAAAAATCACCAATTTTGACAGATCACAATGAAAACAAACAAAGCAGGAGTGAGATGTCAAAACACACCAGAGTAGTGAGCAAATTGTCTTGCCCTGATGATGGTTGCAGGCTTTATTCTGTGTGCTTAATTGGTGTACCTACATCTCCGCTCAAGACAGTTACCAATGATCAAGCTTCTGAACTGTCTCTTTCATAATCACAGGTAACTGGTTACTTGCATGTGGTAGCATGTTTTGCTCTGGCGAATGTACAGGTCACAGTGTGTGATGCTAACGTTGTGCTCTGTGTGAACATGGACCTAATGTTGTGCTCTGTGTGAACATGGACCTAATGTTGTGCTCTGTGTGAACATGGACCTATCTGATGAGCTTGACCTGTTGCTAAACCAAAGTAGCAGTAAGTATTCCCGTCGCTCCTGTCCCTGCCAAACGATTGAGCTTCCGCGGCGATGCCGCCTTAGAGACAACTTTCACAACAACGCCGTCTATTAGACAGCTTTGCTGACGATAGGTTTGCTTTCCTGACCTGTCGTTTTTCCCTTTCCACCTTTTCTTCCAGGAGATACCCCTGTCGAGTTCCAGTTTCCTGACCGTACTCCAATGCTCCGCGTAACTCATTTTCAGAACTGATGCGCATGTTTTCCTACCTTTTCGGGCAGCCAACTATGAAATGTTGAACCGCAGCTAACTTCTTAGTATACTTCATGCTGTAGTTGTCACTTAAATTGATCAGTAAAATTAAATGGAATTTTTTCCATAAAGACATATTTAAGCCTATTAAATTCGTTACATCAAGCCCAAAACCATTCTTGCATCTTTACCGGCAGACATTTTACTTCGACGGCGCCCGGATATAGAGAAAAGTTTCTGAATATGCCAGCAGGTGTTGAGTACAATTCTTGCACTTTTGATTCATTTGTAGCATGCAAAAATAATTGGCCCAAAAAAGCATGGACCGCAACTGATTTTAGCACGGTGGGGTTGGGCGGGCGCGGGGATCGGTAATGAATGTCGGTGTGCAAATTACCGTACCTTTCGTGCATTTCATTACCGTATGGTGACTGGGAATGAAAGGACCACATCGCGTGTCGATTCCGGCCTCATTTCCGATTTTCATTCCCATTCATTTCATTCATTCAGCTCATTTTGATTTGTGATTCCGGATTCCGAGCTCCGGTCCAGTTAACGCAATAATATCTTTTAGTGATGCGGACGTGGTAGGTGTGGGTGTCGCGTGTGGTGTCGGTCTAGTGTTAATTGGAAATAATTATTATTTGTATTTTGCTATAGTGAGCATTAGCTTAGGAATAATCAGTAGTACATTGTGCCTAAATTGCCATATTTCTAAAACCACTATCCACACGTGAAGACGATAAGTCACTGATGCACCACCATGCAGAAACAGTCATGCAATTTCAGAGCTGTTGCATTAAAATGAAAAAACAGTGGAAGTGTCAGGATCATAATTATGGATCATCTCAGTTTTCATACCAGCCTAGTGTGGTGGTGCAGACTGCATAAGTCAGGGGAGAAAGTTCCTAAAAACTTGACCACAGCACAACATGAATATTTTCTGGAATATTAGGAAATACAAGAAGTGTATAACCATTTGACTGCAAACCATGTGTGAACTGTCACTTGTTTTTGAAATTCTTATAAATAAGATGCCTGCACCAATGTATTAATTGTATGACACTTCACCAGTTCAGGAAGTAACTTGTGATGTTCCCGTGACATCACAGGCTGCTTGCATGACAGTTCCTTGCATTAACATGCTGTTGTTGAAGTAGGATACTGTTGCATTGATAACAGCATGCAGTATTCAAAACAGTACCTACCAACTTCATGACCACTAATATCAGCAAGGATGCCTGCAAATATATGAATATTGCAGGCAGCAACACTCAGATATTTGTCATGTTACTTTACATGTTTGCTAGAAGCCAGCTTTAGCCATTTAAAACTGGCTGGCAAAACTCCTTTAACAGGCTACTCCCAGCTGTAGTTAGTTATCATCTAATGCTACCAAAACTCCTATGTCCAAGCCACAATCCATTTCCAAGCAAAGCTTCAGTTAAGGTAGGAGTGAAAAATTGTGTTAAGCTTGTGTCTTCTTCCAGCATATTCCTCTGATCTTTGGCACTGAGCAGCCACAGCAAGACCATTTCAGCTCCAATGTTGCTGGGTGGTAGCAGCAGGCAGCTTGTGGCTGCAGCTTTGAGTTTCACCACTTCCTCCTGCCTCCGCAATGCTAGCAAGGTGAGCACATCATTTTTGGATGGTTTCACTGCATGTGTGGACTGGGGTGGGGTCAGATAGTAAGCTTTGACATCCATGACCTCCTTACTTAGGATTGGGTTGCCTAAATGCTGAAATAATGATCCGAGATAGAAGAAAATGTTTGTGTGAGAAAGCCCCTTTGAAAATCTGTTCACATCTAATGGAATATGCTGAATATATGCTATATGCACATGGTACCTGAATGTGTCTCATATTTACACTGTTATTCAGTCAGCAAATGATCAAAACAAATAAATGATATCCCAATTAACAAATCATCATATTTCAAGCCTTCAGCTACCTCTGTCTATGCTCAATAACAATTCATCATATTTTTTCTTTCTTTTGGCTTTCTCTTTCCATGCTCAGTATTTCATGTACACTATGTTTTTTATTCAACATCATGTTCTTTGCTTCAGCCACAGAGTGTGGAATTCACTCTTGTGATTCACTTGTAGCAAAGTAAAAATTTGTTTTGAGCATGAAATTGTGCATGAGTGAAAGAAATGGTACTTCTATGAAAATCCTAGTCAATTATCCATGATGGTATTAGATGCAGCTCAGTGGGCTCACAAATATGCATTTTTACTTTTAGAACCATCCCCAATCAGATTGGTATGGTATGGTTATAACTGAGGTGCCACATTTTCATTATGAGGATATATATATATATATATATATATATATATATATATATATATATATATATATATATATAATATGTATATGTTTGTATACATCAATATTTGAAACTAGTTTCTATATATAGTGTTATTTTCTATATATGAAAAGGCACAGCATTGCCATGAAGTGCATCTGTTCTTAATGTCAAGTCTGGCTGGAGCACACAGTTTCAAGCTGCCATTTTAGTCAGTTATGAATGGCTTCCCAATACAGTTGCCACATTGGCCTTTCTACACTAGGTTTTTGACCATGTGCTGGTGAGAGGCACTGCATTGTGCAGGCTGGTGCGTCCACCAGCCAGCTCACCGGCCCCTCCCCCGTTTGTCCGTCGACAGTACACGGGCACCTTCGTGCTGAAGCGGCGCCACGCCCCGCTGCTGGGCAAGCGCTCGTTCCCGGATGACTCGCACAGACCGCTGCGGCGCCGTCATAAGATCTACGACACGATCGAGCGGCCCGCCACCCAGCCGCTGCCCGACATCGATGTGATCCTCACCCACCACGTGGAAGGTGAGCTCGTGTGGCGACACTCCGGTCAGCATCGGCACTCCGTTCGACATCGGCACTCCGGCTGACATCGGCACTCCGTTCGACATCGGCACTCAAGCTGACATGGCACTCCGGCTGGCATTTATACTTCGGCTGACATCACGCTGCCAGCGCGTCACTCTGACTGTTTTATGTTGTGCACGATCAGTACCATGCAGAGTTGCTCAGTTGGAAGTGCTCCGTGCAGCTTGTTTTCAGCGCACGTCACGGTGAAATCGTTTGCAGGGTGGCTGTCGGCTCTGAGCCACCTCGCAGCACACGCTCAAGTGCCTTTTAAGTACCCTGTCGCTGGTCTGCGGCATTCAGCTCATTTTGTACCCTTTGCGCCTGTTTTGTACGCGCGATGCTGCGCGACTGCGCTGACGGGGCTGCCTGGAGAGTGCCAGGCGTAAATGGCGCCCCGCCGGCGCCGCCAGGTCTGGGCAAGCCGGGCGACGTCGTGGCGGTGAAGGTCACGCGCGCACACAACGAGCTGCTGGCGCTCGGCCGCGCCGTCTACGCCTCGCCCGAGAACCTGGAGAAGTACCGCAACGTGGCGACCGAGTCGGCTTCCGAGCAGGAGCAGCAGCACTCGTCCATCTACTCGGCGCAGGTGATCTGCGGCTGGCGGTGGCCGCGCCGTGCGCGCGTCTGCTCACCGGAGGCGGGGGGGGGGGGGGGGGCGCTTCCGTGCCCGACGGCAGGGCTGAACTGTACCCCTGGGCAGAGCAGTGGGTGCACATGGAAAACTGGAGCGGATGTTGTCATGCGCCTGATAACATGAATCCGGTTTCGTGGGTTGATCGTCCCAAGATATCCGTGGCAGAAATGCTGGGGTCATAGCTGGATTATTGGCGAATACTGTCGGCAATTTTTTCAACGTCTAGCTTAGAAGGTTAGTTGTGGGCGTGAGTCGGAAAAAAGACCGTCACAAGCTGGCTCATTTTGACGTGCCGTCGGTAACGCTGTCGCCTGGGCTCCGCAGACCGTCAAGACGCTCTCGAGTAAAGTGCTAGGCGTCACCATGAACCTGGAGGAGCCGTGGATCCTGCAGCCATGGCACTTACGCGTGGCGTTCCGCAAGGCTGGCTACGTGGTGCCGGAGAGCTGCCTTGAGCTCCCGGCGCAGCCCATCCAGGGCCCGGACGTGGACGGCCTGGAGGGCAAGGAGTTCATCGTCACGGTGACGGTAAGGCGGCGCTGACGGCAGGCTCGGATGGCGCCGGCGCTGACGGCAGGCTCGGATGGCGCCGGGGCTGACGGCAGGCTCGGATGGCGCCGGGGCTGACGGCAGGCTCGGATGGTGCCGGCGCTGACGGCAGGCTTCGGATGGTGCCGGCGCTGACGGCAGGCTCGGATGGTGCCGGCGCTGACGGCAGGCTCGGATGGTGCCAGCGCTGACGGCAGGCTCGGATGGCGCCGGCGCTGACGGCAGGCCCGGATGGCGCCGGTGCTGACGGCAGGCTCGGATAGCGCCGGGGCTGACGGCAGGCTCGGATGGCGCCGGCGCTGACGGCAGGCTCGGATGGCGCCGGCGCTGAGTCGCGGCCCTACGGCGTTGACGGTTGCATCGGGGCGTATCATAAGCACATTTCACTGCAGGCACCATCCGGCTGCATTGTCCGGCTGGATGGTGGATTTTATACTGGTGGAAATTCGGCGGTGCTATTTCGTGCTATCTAAAAGATTTACTCGTTGGTTGAAGCTTACAATTTATCTTAAATAATTGTGACATGTGATAAATCTGACTGAACTTGCTGCTTTTTGGCTAAATTGCCGACTAAATGCTGCCTTGTTCTCTTTGTAATGCACGCAGTGATCCAAAAATGTCAGTATATATGTTTGAATTGGGCTCTGTGCTTGATTCTTCATTCCCGCCTAAATAGTGTTTTGCCAAGGAATTTATGAAAGTAAGTCCCTTTCAGGCAGACCTCGCCCGCATTTTGCATTTTCGCGGAGCGATTGGTCAGGGACGTTCGTTGCGCTTACAGCCGCTTCGTTTTCCGCAGGCAGTCAATGTTCCGGAGGATGGGCCTTATGCTGGCTGTGTTACGATGGGAACATTTTGGAACTGTGGCTCCCGTTGGCTTATGGCAGTGCGCGTATTTTCAGTGAGTTTGCTTTTAAAAGTGACGGCCCATTCTGGCCACGTAATTGGGCGACTCTATATTGGATGGAGGGGGCGAGTTCGTGTCTCATTAGGCGGGTGGGTGTTTGATGATGCACCCCCATGTGTGTTGAGACGAGTCAATATCAGGTCAGGCCAGTCGGCGCCCGATGGCGTGCGTCGCCTGATCACCCCACCGGGTGTATCGTCAGGGATGGAGCGCACGAGCGTTCTATGGGTCGAGTCGTTCCTTGATCAGGCGTGTCACTGTGTGCCGAGGGACGTCAGGGTCCAGTTCGTGCGTCAGCGTGTGGCCCAGCCAGTCACTACGGCCCGGCATGACCGGTCCGGGCCGTCGCCAGGTGAACGGCTGCGAGCGGGTGCCGGTCCGCTGCCGGCTGCACCACTACGCGGCCGACCCGCGCGACCGCCTGCCCTACGTCTGGCAGTGGTGGCTGCGGCCGGCCGAGCCACTCTTCCCGGAGGAGGCCGAGCGACTGGCCGCCATGCCGCGGCCGCTGAGCCAGCTCCGGGACGACGGCCAGTGAGCGGGCGGCGGAGGCGGTCAGGGACCGGGCCGCGGCGATGGTCGGGGACCGGGCGGTGGTGGCGGCCGTGAGGGGAGGGGTGGCGGCCTCGGGCGGCTCCGCTGGCGGGACGCTCACCACCGAAGCCGTTGACGAGGAGCAGATATCCCGCGGGCGCTGGTGTGAGGACAGTGAGGCGTGAGGACGGTGGGCTGTGCAGCAGCCGAACGCGGCCAGGCTGGTCGAAATGTGCCTCTCCATCGACGCCTGTGACAAAATCCCCGCGGGTGGTACGGTACTGTCTGTGAGGGATGAGTTGGTGCCGAGAACAGAGTGAATGCGAGCCTGTTCGTGCTGTCAGTTTGCGTATCTGGGTTGAGTCAGCATATAAAAGGACGCATTGTCTGTCGTGTAAGCTGCGTTGAGCGTCTTGCAATAAATACAAACCAGACTGATTGTGAAGGAACAGGCGCTTGGTTCATGCTTCGGAACATCGGCATGGGGGTGCGAGCTGCCATCAGTGATGCTACGTAATGTTGCGGTCTGATCTCCGGGGATGGGCAGGTCGGGTCATTATGAGTTGTCCTGTCCGGGACAGTGGACGCACGGAACCGTAGATAGGATCTGGCAGGATTTGAACGCTCTTCACCTGACATTGCCCAACAGCAATGCCGTCTTCAGTCGTGCTCCCACCTATAACAGTCAGAGTCGCACAGTTTGCACATGTATTTGCGGTACACATCAGACAATTCGCATGACTGTACGGTTGCCCTCCCACCCAGCGCTCAATGTCCACTACAGTCGCATCCTGGCCACCTCCGCCGACGTCGTCACCTTCCTCTTCTTCTTGGGCGGCTTGACGCCGGCCACCTGGGCTGTCACCTGGTCCTGCAGTTGGCTGAAGAAGGCCGTGGACGACTTGAGCGCCTTCTTGCCGCCCTTGTCGTCAGCCTGCGGGGAGAGGCAGCGCGTCATTCCACACGTCACACAGACACGGCCCGGACCGACCAGCGACGGGCTGCCGGACCGCACGCAGCCGGATGACTCGTCTTTCATACAGGCTTTAGGACGATGGTCGCGTGATGACGGCATCCCTGAGCTTTGTATGCGAGCACCAGCATATTCCCGAGCACATATCATTCAAGCTCGATCTTTTTACAGCAGACAATTTCATCATAATGCATACAGGAGCACTGAAACTGAGAACCAGTCATAATGCCGATGGTATCACGTTACCAATGCACTGCTACTTCCACCATACGAAGTCAATCGCATGCCATTACATCAGTTCCTACCATTTGTGTGGTGCGTATGCATCATACCCATTGTTACATATACCTTACAATGACGTGGTACGCAACAAATGCTTAAGCATATAGTTTCCACATGTTGTAGCACACGAGTTCTAACTGCTGAAAAGCAGCCTTGGACCGTAATGCTGTTTCCTGTAACAAGACTCTTCATGCTTCTGCACTGTCTTTTGCTTCATCACCATTTTTCTCAGGCCATGAGCAAAGCGACCCAACTGACAAGAAAGCCTCATGTTGTGTATGAAGAGAAGTTGACGACACAGCCTTCTCTTAAATAATCCATTAAGACGTATTACCGAGCCCCTGCGCATTGGGAGCGCTCAGCCTTGCGACAGCCGTACTATAGTCATCCACCACGACCCATGCTCCCAGTGGTAGGGCACACCGGCCTCGTCCGTCTCCCGCCTGCCCTGCTCGCCGATGCGCCTCGCGCCGCCCCGCTCCCCGCCACTTACCCGGGTGACGAGGCCTCGCTTCTCCGCGCGCGCCACCTGCGCCTCTGCCAGCCGGCGGCCAGCGGCGCCGGCGTGCGCCCCGGCCGGCTGCCGCTCGCGCCGCTCCTGGTCGCGCGCCTTGACAGACTGGCGGCGCTTCTTCTTGCGCCGCTCGCGCTTCTTGTCCGTGTCGGAGCGCTCCTCCTTGGCAAGCAGCTGGGAGCGCCGCTTGTCTGCCGGTCAGCGTAGCTCGTCGTCAGAGGCGCGGAGTGAAAGGGATGGGCCCGGGGTCAGGGCGCGGGTGGGGGGGGGGGGGGGGCTAATGCAGCAGGCCGGTCAGGGGGCACGCATAACACAGACTGGGTTGGGGAAAAGCACAACTGAATACGTCAGATGAGTCAGTGATACTTATAATTTACCATTTGAGTCACTGCTGGCAACATGCCAGATCAGACGACTTACGCCGGCGGACACTGACATTCAGCGGACTAAACACAGCGGAAACGTGACTAATACCACAACCATGCCCAGTCTGTTTTAACATAAGACACGCACTGCCACACTGAATTTTGTTTCTCTCTAAACCAATCAGTGCTCCTCACTGCTACGGCGAGTATTGGAGCTGAGCGGAGTGGCTGACTTGCAGACCCGGTCACAGGCACACCACGACCGTGACGTCACAGACGGCGTCTGCCCCGCCCTCACCCTTGATCTCCTCCGGCGCCAGGAGCGTGGCGTTGGACGAGCCCAGCGGAGTCACCTCCTCCATGGAGATCGCCGGCAGCTTACTGACAATGCGCACCTCGGCCGACGACTGAAAACGACGGCTCGTTATTGACGAATTGCTCTTCGACAGAGGAAAGAACACCATCAACGGAAGGGAAGCAACTGCGACCATTGACGAGGCGACCGTACAAGTTACGTTCCAAGCAAGTAGGCCCAGCGACGGGCGTGCAGCACCTGCCGGGCGAGCCCCCAAGCCCGCCGCATCCCGCAACCTCTGGTAGCCAGGCCGCACCTGCTTCGGCATGTAGTGGAAGTTGGTGAGCGTGTCCAGCTTGGCAGAAAGCTCCGCCATCATGCGCCGGATCTCCTCGTGCTCCTTGGGGATGTCCTCGACCTCGTCATGCGCCAGGCTGAGGTCCACCTCGGGCTTTTGCTCCGCATCGGCCTTCTGCTTGAGGTACTCCTGTGGGCGCGGCACATCGATGTCAGGGTAGGCCCCGACAGCACTCATGGCTCACGAGCGCGAGGGGCAAATTGGGCTGCAGTTAATACGACCCTTGGCATTGAGACTTGACATGAATCATAGCAAACGCTTATCTGGACCGCGCATATGTCAGGATCGACACCAGCACACCCAACATAGCCAGCCTGGAAAAGAATCCGAATCCTGGAGCTTTGCCCTGGGTTGTTTAGCTAGCACAGCCTCCAGCACACACAAACGGACACGCGCACGCACATGCACACGCACATCAACCATCACCGCTGGCCCCCTTCCCGCGCGTGCGCTCGCCGCCAGTGCCAGCGGCCGGCCGCAGCGCGCACCTGCTCGTAGATCTGGGCCAGGCTCAGCTTCGATTTCTCCTGGTCGAGCAGCAGCCGCTTCTTATACTCGTACGGGTCGGTGACAGGCTTGACCTTGCGCTCGACGTCGTCCCAGGCGCGGTCGCGCACGCGGCGCAGGATGAGCCGCTCCACCTCGGTCGTCACCTCGGCCGTCGTCTCGGGCGCGCGCCGCGTCTGCTCGAAGTCCACGTACTCCTCGAGCAGCGCGTTCTCGTGCCGCTGCGCCGCCGACGTCTCGCCGCGCTGCTGCCACGGCTTCTCCGACAGGTTCTGCTCCTCCAGCTGCGAGATGCGCGACCTGCGTCGACGCGGCCACGACGGGTCAGCGGCAGGTCAGACGACTCGCAGGTCGGTGGGAGGTCACACTTCCCCTGCAGGTCAGCTGGAGGTTCCCCCGGAGGCCAATGGGAGGTCGGACGACCCCAACGGTCAGCACAAGGTAAGACGTCTATCAAGATCAGCAGGTCAAGTGGTCCTGACAGGTCAGAGAAAGGCCAAATGTCCCGGTCAGGTCAGCAGAGCAGACGCACAAGACAGGCCTGAAGGAGACATCAATGTCACGCACAGTAGCGGTAAACGCCGGACAAGTTCAGGGCGAGGATGGCTTAACTAGCATGTGACAAGAAGCAACACGCTGCAAACCGAAATCAATAAACCAATTAAATGACCATGGGAGGTACCAAACATCTGCTATTTAATGAAATCATGAAGGTCTCCGGTATAGAAACACACGGACGGTTACCTCCCGCATCTCCAGCCTTTACACGCTATTTAACAGTGAAGTTCGCGGTCACTTCAGCTGTACCTGTACCAGCTGTACCTGTACCAGCTGTACCAGCTGTATTTTGTCAGCCCGATATATTTCACTTTGCTGAAGAGATTGGTCTGTGCACTGGTACTTGCTTCGATACCTGCTTGTGAAGCGAAATGTTCGCGTTTGTTTGAACTGCACTCTTCGGTTTCAGTCAGATCAGGCTGGTTACTTCGCACCATACCAGGCTGGGTACCCAATGCAACATGTTTGTCTAAGCATCATTGCCCTGCTTCTATTCATAATGATCTCTAGAGACTGACTATATCGCACAGCACTCGTACATGCTTACTTGAGCCTTTCCTGCCGGATCTCCAGCGTTGACTTCGGCTCCTGAGATTTCTTCGCGCTTCCCAAGATGTCCGCAACATCCTCTCCCTCACTGTCTGATGCTAGCAGGTCCAGTCTGGAAGTGTGCATTTATCAAATCAATACATCAATCATCATCAATTAATCAATCTCCATAGCCATGCACTTCAATGTCATGACAAAACAGATCAAATAGACCCACGTGATGACCCAATAGACCCAAAAGACCCAATGAACACAGGTACACACACCTTAGGAAGTCGTTTCACTGTGCTTACTGATTATGATGGCAGAAATTACACTGTCCAGAGCACCACCACTTCGATGGCTTTTAAAAACAGCATAGCCTAACACACCAGCAACACGCCTCGCAGCCCGGGCGAGCGAGGTGACGTGACGTGATGGATGTGAAGACGGATGTAACGGATGTGAGTTACCGGTTTGTGACGTGGAACTAAAAGCAGAACCATATCAATGAAGCGCACAACTTCAGCGAGCAAACTAAATGGACTTCGTCGACTCGTTGAAGAGTTAAGTTCATGAAAATTAAAGAAGGCAGGGCATTAGAAGGCTCCACTGAGCAAGCCTTACCGCGCTACTTCACACCTAGCATTGCTTAAAAAACATCGCAAGATGTGAGCATCTAGCATCACAAAATGTGTGCATCTACCCACACCCTTGCCCATACCATCCTCCACTTCCCGCTCCATCAGGTTTGTTAGTCGCGTGATGCTGCGACGCAAAGTGGTCGAGAGCCCGGTTTTGACCGCGCTCTTTAACTAAATCGCGATAGGTAAAATTATACCTCTTCCACACTAAAGAAAAAGGGGGTGAAATGGCAGCAATGCTGCTGACAGTCTTGACGCGTTGAAAGGGAAAGCATGCCAGATCGAGGCTCTTGGTGCAAATGCCTGAAAATTTATACAGCACAACGGCAAAGCAACTGTGCTTCCTGGTGTTGAAAACCACATGAGCCTGTATAGTGGTTGTAATATAGCAACCCCTAGAAAGCGGGACGGCCGAGCCGGGCAGGGCCACTCAAGTTGACAGCCGTGCCACATAGCTAAGCTGCCAACCGTCACCAGTCAACTGATGATCAAATCTCACCTCTTGCCTTTGGCTGGCTGTGGTGGGCCCGCCTTCCCGTCGTCCGGCGGATCAAAAAAGTCCGAGAACATGGGCATCGCATCTTCCTCCTCCTCCTCACCCTCCACTGCGCGCCCCCTGGCGTCGGCTCGCCGCCGGCCTGGAGCTGCGGCGCGGCGCTCCTCCCCGGCGTCTGCTGTGAACAGGTCCGGTCCGGCTGGCTCGTCGGCGTCGGCCGGGCGGCGGGCCCGCTCCCGCTCAAACTGGCGATCCTGCAGCTCCAGGAACTGCTCCAGCTCGCCCAGCTTGAAGAACCGGTCGTCCACCGTGGAGCGGGCGGCGTGCGGTCGTTCTGGCAGCGGCTCCTCCCCCTCCCCGCTGCCGGGCCCGTCTTCGTCGCTCTCGGCACCCTCATCCTCGCTGTCGTCCTCGCCTGCCGGGCCGTCAAACCCGTCCTCAATGTCATCCTCGTCCACCTCGCCGTCCGGCCCGTTGATGTTCGGTGCGTCGCCGTGTCCGGCCGAGTCGTCGCTGTCACTGACGGCCTCCCCAGCCAGCGGCCGGCGACCGACCGCGGCCGGGGGCGTGGCCTCGTGTCCAGCAGCCTGCGTCGTCAGCGCCAGCTGGCCGCTGCGCGCCGTGACCCGGCTCACCTCGCGCGACAGCGCCGGCCACTCCAGTCCGTTCAGCAGCTCCAGTTCCTGCATAACACATGGTCCAATGCGTCACGACGACGCTGAGAGGAGCAGTACCAATGACACTGCATCTGCTATGCACAGCATGTACACATCAAAAGCAGTTGGCACTTAACCTGCTGCTTATTTTGATTCTTCAGATGATTCTTTGTTGATGCATAAAATGCTTTTTGGTATTCTAATGTTTTGCTCTATAACAATTTATTGCTTCTTAACTACTCCTGGCTATATATCACATGTAATGTAAGTTGCATTTGATCACAATAATAATTGAATTTTGAAAAGTGGAAGCAAGCTTTGCTTATTTGGAAAATAAAAAAATTCATAGAAAGCATCCTTAAACCAGAGCTGGCAAGCCTAATTAGAGAAACAGCTGGAAGTTAGTCACCTCAACTACCATCTTGATATTTTCTTACCTGCCATATTTGTTCCTGATCAAACCCTTCTATGAAGAGTTCCTGGATGGGTAGTGAGCTTTTTTCACTCAGGCAGCTTACACCAATATCAAAGATTTCCTTGGTTACACCCTTAAACCCTTCTGCAGAAGTTTGATCAGACCTGAAACAAATAAGAAAATTGGTCAAAACAATCATACTGGTGAGCAAGTGTTTCTGAGAACACATGTAGACATACTTGTGCTCTACAATGAAAGTGATCACCTGGATATCCCTGGGTCCTACAGTAGCAGGTATGACATGGGCAATGTCTTGGCAAAGCACAGTGCAAAATATGGGACACTCTGATTTGTGACTGTAATACAGCAATACTTCTGGTAGGGCCATCTGGTAGTTTTACTGCATTTGTGCACAAAACTATGGTATGCGCTGGTGACTTTTTTACTTTTGATAGCATGCAATAAGCACAGCACTTTATTAATTGGTATTAACATGGAACCAAGAATGGGACATGTCTAAGCAGTGGCATACAGAACATGAAAAACTCTTATGGAATGCATAATTATTTGGACTAGGCTCCAGTCAATGACTACTTTTCAGCCAATGACATATCTGGCTATCACCTGGTGTTAGCCCTGGTAAGAGTCTGACAATGGTAAGCATATAGCCATTTACATGGTAAGTTTGCCCATGCAAGAACCAGAGGATTTTAGCCATGTACCCAGTTATGTACCACATCCCAAAGTATTCAAGCAGGGGCATTCCTTGCCACGGCCAGAATATGAATGCCCATTATATGAATTTGTGGTCTGATATTTGCTATGGAATATTATGATAAATAAAATCAAGGCCAACCCTGGCAAACCATGAAAGTCCTGCAAAGAACAGCATATATGGTAAGGGGACCACTTACTGGGACAGAAATAACTCATAACCATGCAAGGTTGAAAAGAAGAAATGATCAAGAAAGTGGCACACCTCGTGATAGTAGTTTCAATCCCTATGAACAAACTCCACAGTCAGCGGAGATCAGCTCATTATGGCTGTGAGAACTGAGGGAACAAACTATTCAAACAAATACTGGAGACAAAATAATTGAAATTTAAGTGTGCTACCAGACACCAGAAATGTCTAAACCACATCACAGGATGAGCATGACGAGTGGAACTTGAGGGTGCAAGCACTGGGACAAAACAGTGAAGAGTAATTGTCCTTTCCATACAAACATCTTGTCAAACATTTTAATGGTCTTACCTCAAAAAGTTTTCAGCTTTCTTAGTCAATGTCACAAAGCCGGTCATCAGCTTTTCCATGGTACCTATGCGTGATTGATCACCCGTTCAGTTGAAATATCCGCATCTGGACACCCAATGCATATCTCAAACCACACCTTCACTTTTTCTTCAGGGTTTCGCCCATCAAATAGGATCCTGCTCCTGGCGTAACGATCCACAGGCCTTCACACAATGTCTCGTGGGCAGCCAATCACAAGATATTTATAATATATAATGTCCAGTTACTACACAACCACCCCGACCGCGACAAACAGCGGCTTTTATACTTGTTCACGGTACTCACGTGCGATACGATTTATGGCGCATCGAATACGAGCAAACACTTTGAAGCTGTTCGACAACAGCTTAAAGCAGATCTGGCTCAAGGTCTGAACAAAATTTACCCATCCTTCACCTCCCCGAGCGACTGAGCGTCATCGTGTGGTGACCGAATACGCGCAAGTTGCGTTCAGCGCAGTGTGAACACTTTAAGTAAGTGCATCAACCTGGACAACTAATCTGAAGAATTTGACTGGCCTGAGCGAGGGGTATTGGGGTGTGCGTGCGGCCCTGGACAGCTGTGAGCGAATGTTTTCAGACATTGTTCTCCTTGATGGCACGATCCACCGCTCTCTGTAATCAAGGAGATTCCTAAATACCTGTGGGCAATTGGCTGGGCGTGCATCAAGGCTGGCAACGACCAATAAAGGCCAAGGAGTAGGTAATAATTAGGGGTCCTGGCGATAGAAAGCTATTAGGGATGTACTCGAATAAAAGTTTGAGTTCAGTTTGAGTCTACTCTGCCCCTTAACTCACGTCCTAAACCCCCACCCCACAGAGCCTGAGGATCATGAACACCAGGGTGTGTGTCCTCATCAGTTTTGTTGTGCTTTTCTGTACATTTAAGAAATGTTAGCTATGAAAAAACTTTAAAAACTGCAATAAAAAGACATAAAAGTAAGGTTGAAAATGAGTGATGATGTTCTTCATTTTCAGATTTAGAAATTTGTGTGGATGTTTAATTGGTTTGCAGCTATTACAGCCTCTTGGCTTCATGCAAAAGATAGATGTGTCATGTTATAGACTACCAATTTGACAGATATATAGACAGGCAAACTATGCCCCTGCTACCTGCTGGCAATGGTGGGGTGATAGGTAGAAGAAGAGGTAGCTATGACCTTTTATCAAGCTACCTCAAGATACATATGAGGTTTGTTGAGCTCTTGGAAGCCCAAGATTTGTAAAACTCATGCTTATTTAACCATCTGTGATTTTTCTGCACCACATCAGGTTAAAAATGATGGAATCAATGTGGTGCTTTTCAGCTAAGTTGTTAAATTCATCAGTTGTAGTGTGATGGAGTTCAAACAAAGCTTTGCATTTGTTTACTGCATATATTCCTGTTACTTCCCACTAGTACATGAAAAGGGCTTGGTTATGACTGAGGAGCCACTTTTAAAATGGTCTGAATCATTGTGCCCTGGGTGGGCTAAGAGGCCTTTGCATTGGTGACTTTGATTTTACTGACCATGTAAAAATTTGGATTCCTATATGATAGAAAGGTAATTTGGACAGATCATGAGTCAGAACATGGGGACCACCAGGTGGCCTAGGCCCATCTAGCAAATACATGCCCACTTTTTCATGTTGGCATGGTGCTTGCTTGTTGCTGTGGTCGGCTACCAGAACCAATGCTGAACTAGCCTTGGCATGCAGTTCATAAGCCTGTGTTACAAAGGGATATTTGCAGAGCTGGGGGATGAGCTTAATGGTTATCAATATATTTTCACTTCAGAAAAGATCTACAGTGAATAAGTAAATGTGTCTTGCCTGAGTTCCTCTTGTTACACCAGTGCATGTTTCATGCCTACCACTGCGATGAATCAAAGCTCATACTTGGGTTGATTTGAAACCAGCTGAACTGGTATGATGGCAAGATTTGTTTCTGCGTAACTCATATGCCAATATCTTGCTGTTCCCAGTTATGTTGTCACTGCAGTGCTGGCAGCATGCATTATCTGTCACTCTTCCTTATGAAGTAATATCAGTGGCATAGTTGTGGAAAACAGGCTAGGCTGCTGACATGTGATGATAGCACCCAAAATTAGCTGACAAATGGGCATCAGTCCAAAGTTAGGTATTTTTCTGTCAAATTTGGGAGGGATTGGATCCACTCAGCCAAATAAGAAATTACACTGGATGATGTAAGTTTGTATGCAGGATATTCATGCCATGCCCACTTATCCACAAGCACATAGCCAATGTTTAATCTCAACTCATGGGCAAATGTCAAGTTTTTTCCAAACTCCTGCAATTTGGATGAACTATCTGTGAGATCTGTCAGCATTTAGTTTAACATCCTTGCTCAAGGTGGGCCCTGGCCCCATTGTTCCCACCCTTGGCTAAAACCTTGTCACATGATCTAATCTGTCTTCAGTGTATGGCCAGGGGTATGTGGACCCTGCACAAGGGTGGCAACACTGTGGGGACATGTCTCCTGCAATTTTCAGAATGTGTGACATACCTTTGGGAGTACATACCTACATATGGTGACTTGCATGGTCACCTTCTCTATGTCACGTCAGCAAGCTGAAGAGGTCCATGCATATGTCCATTTATATATTTATCCCACCATGAGGGCTGATGATGCTCACTAATGCTTCCACTCTGTTGTGCCCCAGGGCCGCTATGGACCAGACACCGCTGTTTATAGCCTGTCTGCGCGCCGTGCGCACGCGCAACAAGGAGCTGTCGGCGGCGGCTGAAAGCCGTGTGCTGCCGCGGCGCGCGGCCGGCCCGTTCCAGCGGCGCGCCGCGGACATCGTGGCGAGCGTGGCGCGGCTGGCCGCCTTCCTGCAGGAGCATCGGGCCGGCTACCTGAGCACAGGCCGCGCCGACGGACCCGCGCTCTCCGAAGCCGAACGTGACCAGGTGGACGCCGGCGCCCAGGCTATCACGCGCACCTGCAGTCAGCTGGTGCGCGAGTTCCGGCGCGAGCTGGTGCCGGCGGCCGGCGGCGACCAGGCGGCGCAGCACCGGCAGGCCGTGGCTGACAGCATGGAGGCCTACCTCAAGACCGTGTGCGGCATCTACGCCGAGATGAAGGCGGTGCGCGTGAAGCGGTCCGTCGACCGGCGCAACATGAGCCAGATCATGACGGCAACGCCACGGCCGGCGCCCGCCGCCGACCGCCCAACGCCCCCGGCAGTGCCGCCGGAGGACGGCGGCGGCGGCGGAGCGCCGAGCTGGGAACAGGACCGGCCCAGCTCGCCCCTGCTGCCCGGAGACGAGCTCACGCCAGAGGACCTCCAGATGCTGCAGGCCGAGAACGACCAGATGCTCAACGAACTCAACAGCATGACGAAGAGGTGCGGCTGGTCGAGAGCAAGGTGGTCAAGATCGCCCAGCTGCAGGAGATCTTCACCGAGAAGGTGCTGGAGCAGGACAAGGACGTTGACCGCATCGGTGACACTGTGATCGGCACGACCGAGAACATCAAGGATGCCAACGAGCAGCTGCGCAGCGCCATCAAGAAAAACGCCGGCACCCGCGTGTGGGTCATGTTCTTCCTCTTGGTGATATCGTTCTCGTTGCTTTTCCTAGACTGGTACAACGATTAATGCGTGAGTACGCTTAGCTGGACGCTTCACGTGGGTCGTGGAGTAGGCGTTGTTCCGTGACGTTCGGACCCAAGCTGTGTGCTGTGATAGTCGGCTATCGCGGCCGGGCGGATGATTTCGGTGGGTATATTTTTATGCTATTTAATGTAAGCTTGATGCATTCAAGTGTCTAGATGAACAATGTTGGGATTTGAGCACATGCCTTAAATATATGCGACGAGCACTGTGCCGGAGAGTGGTCAAGCAAATCAGTGCAAGCTATAACCACCAGGCTGCGGCCATTGACAGCGGAAGGGCGCTGCAATTTTCAAGGCTTCCATTCACAGCGCTCATCTGCCATGCCAGTATGCCACCATGGCGTGTCGTGCATCCAGCCTCAACCCTCCAGCTCCTTAAACCACACACGATGACGAGCGATTATGTATTGTGCGCGCACGGTGCGGATGACGATTGGGATGACGGCAGAGCGGTGGGCGGGGCGTCACCCCGCCAGCGGGTTGGCGTGGATGGTGACCCGTCGGATGCGCGTGTCCGTGGTGGGACGGTAGTTCTTCGGGTTGACCGTCAGTTTTCTCCAGCTGGTCCAGCGTGTCCAGGCCGTCTATCACTCTGCGGTGCAGCAACAGGTGGCCACATTCGATCAGCGAAGGCAGTGGCCTATGTGTTACATGGATGTCTTCACACGCTTTCTCAGGAGTATACCGATCCGATTAAACATATTCTTGCTTATATGGGCCTCGTCGACCTACTTCACAATCGATACGGAGGCGCAAGGGATCATGTGAAGATGAACACGAATCATCATCGTCAATGGATTATCCCCATCAGAGGGACACCTCAGCAATGTATAAATCTATGAGAGTTTTCCGTAGCTTTCGTAGCAGGATGAAACGTTGACCAAAATTCACGTATTTGGTGCCACTTACTTCGCAAATACCGTGTATTTCAGGTCCAGGTGCGGCTGAGGGGCGTATGTGATGAAGAACTGACTGCCGTTCGTGTTTGGCCCATTATTTGCCATGGAAACCATGCCGCGAACTTTGTGCTGTAAACAAACGACCACCATGCGCATAGTCAACAGCAGTGCTGGGCATGAACACGAGGAGCCGCGGAAGCAGTGCACCATCCATCAAACTAAGTGCTTATCCAATCTGAACATGGCCAAATTTTGTTTTAAGGTATCAATTTTACATGGCTCTTGTGATCTGATGCCTTCTCTGACATTTCTTAGGTCTGTTGGAAACGAATCTGTCGTCTGCTATCCTAAGATTGTATTTGTTGAAGTTTATTTATACTTTCAATCAGCATTTGCCGCGCAAAAAAAATAGTGGATTTGGTGCTCGTGTCCCTTTGACAATTTCAGTTCATAACATGCATACCAAGACAACGCAATGTTTCACACGCAGTGGCAATCAAGCCAAGTATATGCGACAATGCCAGACGTATTGCCGTACAACACTTTTATTCTGCCTCCGTGTTCTAATATACAAGCAACCATTATGATCAAGGGCGCACAGATCCTTCTTGGTATGCACATATTTTGACACTTCAACGATCAAATACGAAACGACACAGCATCATTAAAAACGAGTGCGCAAACATTCGGCAAGTAAACAGCAAACACTAGTTCAGGCCCTGCGCACGACATCGGACCAGCAGCCACGACTCATATGCACCCCAATGTCGCTCATGTCGGCTTGAATATTCGCACATCGTGTTACCCGCGCGTGCTTGCTCCTTCAAATAGGCACTAGTTCCGTAAAATGAACACCAGTTGAAACACGTACCGCCCGACCAAGATCCTCTGCACAAAATCAAACAGCTGAGGCAGGACAAGTATGTAGGTTCCAAAGTGCATTTGTGAGGAGCATTACGCATATGAATAAGACAGTAGTAATGGCCCAGCCCTCGTCGAAAAACCAGACGAGTGATATCTCGAAACATGCCTTCATCAAAGTGAACATCAGTTTATTTCGATGAAGGCATGTAGCCGAAATTTATATATACCTAGCTCTCCATTCTCCTGGTTATTCTACGAGGAACGGGGCCATTACCACTGCATCATTTAGATACCAAAACAAGTATGGATATTTGGGAACCAGTGTTCTCCATGTCTGATCTGGATAGGTCCTGTAGCTACAGACTGAACTCACCTTAACGTTGTCCGTTATCTCATCTTCAAATTTCCGATTCCATATTGAAGTGCCGCCTTTTCCCGTGCCAAGAGGATCACCGGTCTGTACCATGAATCCCTTGATATTGCGATGAAACAGGCTGTCGTTGTAGTAATCACTTCCGCATAGAGCCAGGAAATTCTGCAACAGCACCAGAAGAGTAATTACATTGTTTGTCCGAGCTGCGTTTTACAACTTCCCGCATCAATCTGATACAGTGTGTATTTCTTCGACTTCGCCATCTTGCAATCAGAGCGGCCGCTGAACACTGCAACTACTGAATGTGTGCGGCATGCTCACTGAAATGGTCAAACATTTTCTGAACATTCAAGACAAAATCAATGTACCACGGTTCACGAATTTTACGGCGAGTCGCAAATGTGTCAGAGAGGCGATGTTAAAACGCATGCTGCTCAAGCCACTTCAAACTTGAAACGTTAAAACCTCGACAAACCACTATGCGCTGCTGATGTACGGCACACACGTCCACATTTCCGAGTTATTCAGTAATGCTACGAGGATTAACTTGTTGACACGACTACACGACCTATGTGAGGGCCGTGGCTACAGATTTTGCCATTTCCAAATAGTTTTTCGTCTTCAGCACGCAGTGAAGCGATGATGTTTGAAGATGGGCTGCACGAAGATGACGAACGTTTGCCGTTCGGTCGGTGGAAGCAGTGGAATAAAGTATTTTTATTTCACCCAACGGCTGTATCATGTAGCATGTATTCCAAACCGTCGTAGCATCGACCCCTTCACGACGGGACACGTTCTGTGTTGGCGCTTGACCCTCGGCGGCAGCGCCTGCAGCTGGGCGGTATTGGTACTTGCTCGCTTGCTGCTTTGCTCGGTGCTGTTTTGAATATTCGACTGCAAGTTCCACTCCGTTCATGCCAGCGGCCGAATGTAATAGATTGCGATGCTTTCGGAAAGATTCTGGAGGAGCTCGCGCAGGGGCAGATCCAGGACCTCGTCAGGGGGGGGGGAGGGCACGCAACATTGTGGGCCCCATAGAAGCCCCCCCCCCCCCCCGAAAAAGATGTTTGAAATCCAGCAGTCACTCTTAGTATGCTTTTTATAACGCAACTCATTTAAATGTGCTTAAATGCATCTAAATGTCCCATAAGACGTTGACGGGACGTAAATGTTCGACAAATGACGTAAAAATGCATCGGCGCATATCCGACTGCTGCTCTATAGCTACGACACACACACACACACAAACACATGCACGCACGCACGCACGCACGCACGCACGCACGCACGCACGCACTCACGCACGCACCACATATATAATAATATATATATATTATAATATATATATATATAATATATACGCCAACAGACGAAACCTGAATGATCATCGGTGCCACAGTGGACCCACAAAGAGTCTTCCGCCGACAAGTATGGGGTCCGCAAAGCAAGCGAGAAGAACGCAAGACCAACGTGATAGGCTCCTGAACGATCGGAAGTGGCCCGGCAGGCTGACGTATAGGATCCTGGCCAAAGCATGGACCCTTTGAGCAGTGGGTCCAGTGTGCGTGTGTGCACCCTTGTGTTTGACCAGTGTGTGTGAATGAATACCCCCTTGAGATCAAAAGTGCCCGGGCACGTTTAACGGAAAGGGCCGTAATGAGAGTGAGGGGTCCTCCGCAAAAGAGATGAAAGGGGAAGAGCCCTAGGTCAAGGTGCAGGGCTCCTGAGCATCCAGTGGCTCAGTGTCTTACTTTATATTGACCTCAGCAACAGCAGAAGGCCCTTCGTTGAGAAAGTGGAAGGAGCCCGGCACCAATATGAAAGGCCCCTGAGTAACTGAGTGTACCCGGAATAGAGCGCCCCAACAAAAGCGTATTGACCTTTTCAGGCAAGTGGGACGAATACATGGAGGACCCCTGATCGACCAAGAGAGCCCAGGCATGCTGGCAGATAGTGCCCCAACAGCAGCGTCGCACAGCTCACCGCACACAGATCAAGGGCAACGTGGGAGGCTTCTTAGCGATCGGAGTGACCCGGTGAGGAGACACATAGGGCCCCGCTACAGCGAAGGCCGCTGGACAGCGTAATGACTCTGCTCACGGGCCTCGCTTTCGCGTGTGACTGTTTTTTGGTCGCCTGGAGACCCAAAGACGTCCAATTTCGTTGTTTTGTGTTTGAAAACTGAGTCCGTTCGCCTGGTCATGGGCCCCTTCAGAGCCTATGGGTCCGCTCGGGGCACAAGGGGGGAGCGCGGTTCCGTGTCCCCCCCCCCCCCCTCCCCCGGATCCGCCATTAGCCCGAACAGTTTGATAGATGGGAACGGATAGATGACAAAAACATACGACCACCTATTTAAATACAAAGTACCCGAGAGACAATATGGAGGGCCCAGGAATGACCGAGTGCGCCCAAGCAGGTAAACAGATGGGGGCGGGGCCAAAAAGAGCGTAGGAAATTCCATTCAAATAATAGACACACTCACGACACAATGCGGAGGGCCCCAAACGATCGAGTGCACTCCAGCAGGTCAACAGATGGGACTCCCGCCAAAAGCCCTCCATCGGAGCCCTCTTCCCCCTCTTTCATCAGATGGGACCCTCCATTCAAATAGGAAGTACCCAAGACCAAAGATAGATGAAACCCGAACGATTAAGCGTGCCACACCAGGCTATCAGACGAGGCCCAAACAAGAGCGTGGGGCCTTCCATTCGAATAAGGAGTACCCAGGACCCAGTGTGGAGGGCCGCCGAATGATCCAGTGTACTTATGCAGGCTATCAGATGGCGTAGAGCTCGATATTCAATTTCCAATATCAAATGTGTACGGCCCCCGAACAATCCAGTGTGCCCGAGGAGGTGCACAGATGGGAACCCCGAAGAGTCCGTAGGGCTCTCCATTCAACCAGGTAGTACCCCGGACGCAATGTGGAAGGCCCCGGAACGATTGAGTGTGCCTAACAGATGGGCCTCCGAAAACAGCAAGGGCCCTCCATTCAAATCAGAAATATCCGCGGCACAATGTACAGGGCTCTCGAACGATCGAGTGGGCCAGAGAAGATTCACAGATAGGGCCCCCGACAAGAGTGCAGGGCCCTCTGTTCAAATAGGAAGCACCCAAGACCCAATGAAGAGGGCCCCGAAGGATCCGGTGTGCCCGAGCAAGTTATCGGATGGGAGTCCCAACAAGAGCGCGAGGCCCTTCATTCAAATATGAAGTACCTAAAGCCCAGTGTGGAGGACCCCCGAAAGACTGAGTGAACCCAAGCAAGCTATCAGATGGCCCCGACAGAAGCATAGGGCCCTACATTTAAATACAAACAATAAAAAACATTTAAATAAAAGACTTCGTCTGTTCGCCCAGATATGGGCCCCCTCGGAGCCTAAGGGCCCCTTCGGGGCCCGAAGGGGCATGACCTCTGCCCCTCTCTGGATCCGCCCCTGAGTTCGCGAGATATTTCAGCAGGATCCACTTAGCTTCATTGCACGATTACGCCGTGAATGAGAAGGTGGATCGAATGGCAGACACTGCCATTCACGCACCCAACGCTGGCGCTGCCGTTCGTGGAAACATGAGGAGACGGAAACCAGGCCAGCATCCGGAACATTCCATGTCAGTGACTTCCGGCGCATGAACGGGCATCTGGAAACTTAACATTTATTACCGGAATGAGCTGCGTAAGAAGATCAGTGCCACTAATTTCCCCCAATTCACCTTCCGTTAAGTTTGTTGCCGAACAGGGCAGGATTCAGTTTAACCGCGTCTGGCCCAGATTATTCACACACAAAACATTATGTATGTTTCATGGGTTGTCCAGATAAATGTCGACCGTTTACCCATACTGATGTAATGTATTGGCCCATCCAAGTTCATTGCTAGACTCGACTTCGAGTCGACATCATAAAGCGCTTCGCAGGAAAAACAGGCATTCAAACACTCATGCAAACGAAGCACACTCGACGTGGCAGAACAAATATACGCACGGCTCTGGCATGTAAAAATCGCACCAGGCCTGGCCGAGATGTTGTTTGAAGAAAATGCGGCTACAGACGACATCTGAATCGACGTCTGTCCGACTCCGTGTGGATTCGAGATACACTACGGTTTATTTGAATGGCCCTTTTATGACATCATGAATGCCAAGGTGACTTTGAAACACTTTGCCCAAAAATTTTCCCATTTTTGTGAATGTGTACCTAAGACACTAGAGAAGTTTAGGTCTTCAGAAGGGCAGGGTTGTGAACTGCATTGAATAGTCTTGATGTGGTTATTTCATGTTTATGATTGACATGAATTTCCTACTACTGGCTCAGTTCAACCTAAAACTACTTGGCAATGGCTATGGCAAACCAACATTCAGGGCACTGTCTTCCAGGCATTTTCTGTAAACATTCTGTTTTGGGAGTGAAACTGGCAAGAGCAATCCTCCTGTTCCTTTTGCTTGTTTGCTGGCTTTTACCCCTCACTATGGGCTGCCATTCTGGCAGGTCCCACAGTACACACATTGAACAAATATTGTTGTTCACTTTAGATGTGCAAAACTAACCTGCTATAACCTGCAACTCAAAAAAAAATTGTGCATCTGATTGAGCAATGGTTGCCATCTTCCTTCTGTGTGTTCATGTTGAACAATTTCCTGAGCATTAACATTTTAGAAACTTACCTCACATGTCTTTGGACACTGTTCACAGAAGAGCTCCATCTTGATATCTCCCAAGTCTGTATGAAGTGTGACAGCCTGCAGAAATTCACACAGCTTTTATAAAAAGAAAACAATTCATTTCTAACTTGCATAACTGCATTTATGTACAATGCATCAAAGATAAAATCAAATCATGTTAAAATAAAGTGTGTAATGCTCATCATTATAGCTATCAGAGCACATGAGACACCAGATACCATGATCTGAGAATATCAAAAAGTAGAATTAAAACTGATTGCAAAACAAAAAGTAACCAAAGGACTACAGCATATCATTCAAAAGGGGTACAGCTTCACGAAATGAGTTAAAGGGCTGAGGTATGGAAAATGGCTTAACTGGCCCAAAATATGCCAAAAACCATGTTTCTCCCTGGATTTGGTGCACTTGCTCAGAGTTCAATGCAGGATGGAGCCAACATTGGTGGGGGCAAGCTTCAACCCCCCAATTAGGAAACTATTATCAATTATCAGCTGCATAACAATGAAAAAATACACACTTGATAAGCTTTAAAATCTTGAAAGAAATGTTTCACATTTGTGGGGGAGAGAGGGCTGACCAGACATTTCCTGATCATAGTGCACAGGAAGTACTGAATAACTAAAATAATTCCATGACTTGAAATGCTCCAGCCTCTTATCATGGAGGCAAAGTTAAACCAGATGATTTGAATTTAGAACAGATAAAAATATGCATACCATGCCACCACAAATGGCAACAATAACATTCAACAGCCTGTTTGCAAATCAACACTGCCCAGTCAGTGATAGCCTAGAAATGAAACTGCACAGTAGGACGTTATATGACTTAGAATTGTCTGTTCCGCTGCTACCACATTCAGCATGTCCTGTTCAATCACTGACCAACAACACATACGACAGCTAAAAGTAGAACAGCAGAGCAATAATGCATCAACCAAGGCAAGCGGCGGACAATCGACTTTAAAAAATCCGCTGTAGGTATCATATTCACCATATCGCCGACAAGCCACCCGCCTCGTTCTTCCGGGCACATACAAGGCCCTAGAACAGAGTAGGGGCACACACACTTCGGTATGCGCAATGTGATAAAGCGTTCTGGAAATCGTCTGTGAAAAAATGTCCTTCTCGCGTAGGAAACGTCTACACTGATTTACTACCATATACAACGTTTTCTCTGTTGCACATAATGTGCATTGCTTTACATGTTTTTTTCCACGCGCCGGCCAGTGGCGGCGGATTTCGGGGGGGGGGGGGGGCCGCCTCCCCAAATCTGGGCAACATATAACACTGACTCTACGCCTGGTGACGCATGAAAAAAGCGATGTAAAAATTAGGCTGTTCCACTCTTCTCACACGTTCCGGTTTCCAACAGACCATGAGTTCTTAATAAGGTCTATCGTGATAAAAAACGCGCTACGCAGTCTCACTGTTGCGATGCAACGCAACAAAATTCTCTCCACAATGCATTGTCAGCACATTTCATCATGCGGCGGTCGGCAGCCATCTTGAACGTAGCGCCGTCCCGCGAAGATTGGCAACCGATTATTTTAAAACTCTTATCACCCTATTTTGTGTATATGATTTCATCTGCGGCGGTAAATCTGGTGGCCTCCGTTGGTTAAATATATATATATATATATATATATATATATATATATATATATATATATATATATATATATGTATATATATATATATATATATATATATATATATATATATATATATATATGCGTGTGTGTGTGTATGTGTGTGTTTATAAGGGAGAAGAAAGAGAGAGAGAGAGAGAGAGAGAGAGAGAGAGAGAGAGAGAGAGAGAGAGAGAGAGAGAGAGAGAGAGAGAGAGAGAGAGAGAGAGAGAGCGTGCAGTCGTCGGACGACAATGCAGCCTCCTCCGTCTTGTATATAAATTGAACGCGGCTCAGAGTTATGATTGTACAGCCGCAACCGTGGTGACCGGCCAATATATTGTAATATTATAAGGTAACAAGGTAGTAACACAAGGAAGACAAAACTCAGTGTTTACGATCACTGATGACGCATGCGATGGAAGAACGTCCTGATAACTATGTGCTTTAAAGTAACGCCTTCAAGAAGCCACGCTGGCAAAAGTCAGCGGCGAATTCGGGAGTTTTTGGAGCAGCAGTCTCTGTGCCGCCCACACCTGTGCAGTGCTCTATTGCCCTGCTGTGAGTAGAGCTTTGCAGAGGAGACAAGCAGGTGGCAAACACATTTGAGCTGTTTGAAAAATCATGGCAATAGCAATGGCGACTTATGCGAATTCATTCCAGTTGTTTGGAAACACTTATATCACTTGCTGGCTTTAATGGTGACTGCAGCGCTTATTTAACTTAATTGAATCGAAAATATCTGCGATGATATTGCGTTCAACTGTCAATGCGTATCTGGATGGTAGTTCAAGCGATAACTGATCCAATCGTTCATTTGCAAGGGTTTTCAGAAGTCTTTACGAGTGGCACTAAAGCTGAAAACTTGTCCACTGCTCATTAACAGACAGATACTATATATATATATATATATATATATATATATATATATATATATATATATAGACGAAGACAAATGAGCCCGCGACCTTGCGCGCTCGCCGTTGTGGAGGCGGTCCTTTCATACAACGCATTTAAAGTGGTAGTCTATTCCATGTCAGTATGAGCATCTCTTGGTTGCCACACTGACGGCACATAACTCCGCCATTCGAATCCAGTACCATCCATAGCTCGTCGGAATGATCCTGACAGGCCAAACTACGCCCAAGTTCAGTTCGCCCCTGAGTTCACTGGAACGTTCCCGGTTGATCTATTTCATACATTGACTCCGTTGACACCACCAGTGTCCCAGCGCTGCCTACCATTGGTTCATTTGTATGACGTCAGGAAACACTTAACGGTGATTGGCTGTTCGCACGGATCGACCAAGAGAACGCGGAATAGGTCGAGAAGGCTGCAGAAAATTCGTGACGGTCATGGAGGTGCTGCCACGTCCTTTAAATTCGGCGATTTTCTTGTGCTGAACTCAGAGCGGTTTCAGTTGCCTGGCAGGCTGCGTGTGCTGTGGAGGTGACATCCAGAGCTTCTCTGTCGACATGGATACATTTTTGTTCTTCGAGCCCCAGGGTCGTCGGTGGACGCCGCGCCGTGAGATTGGCACGTTCGGGCCTGTGCAGGTCTGGGACCCGTGGTCGGCGTTCGGTGAGATTGATGGACCCGTGTGGCGTCCCTGTGCGCACGGGCAGGGCGTGCGGCCGCAGCAGTGCCTCAGAGCACAGCCGCAGAAGAAGGAGGAGTCCAAGAAGCCGGAAGGCTTTCACCTGACACTGGACGCCGCCGGCTACCGGCCGGAGGAGGTAAGCGTTAAGCTGTCTGACAACGTTGTCACCGTGCGAGCCCACCACCGCGAGAAGACCGGCGGCGGCCTAATCAGCAGCAGCCTTGTGAGGAGGGTGCGCTTGCCGGAGCACGTGGACGCCAGCGCGCTGACCTCGCGTCTGACCCGGTCCGGTCAGCTGGTCCTGGAGGCGCCGCCGGCCGGCGCGCCGGCTCTGGAGCTCTCCGAAGGTGACAAGAAGCCTCCAGTGACAGCCGCCGCCGCATCAGGGGAGGGCAGCACCGAGGAGAAGCAGCCGGAGGCCGCTGAAGTCGGCGAGGCGAACGCTGACGCCACGAAGACAGCCAAGTACCAGGTCTCTGTGAACGTCAGCGACTTCAAGCCGGAGGAGGTGACCGTTAAGGTGGACGGCGGCGTGGTGATCGTGGACGCTGTGCACGAGGAGACGTCGGATGAGGGCTGTTCCAGTTCCCGTCTGCTGAGGAAGTTCGCGCTGCCGCGGCATGTGAACCCAGACCATGTGACCTCGCGGCTGACTCAGGCCGGTCAGCTGATGGTGGAGGCGCCGGTGATGGCCGCGCTCCAGCCGCCTAAGGAGGGCGCCGTGGAGACGGAGGGAGCGCAGCCGGCCGCACTCCAGTAAGGCAGCCGTTGGCGGACCGCGGCCTTCGTCTTACCTTTCAGCAGTTGCTTTTGCTGTTCAGCCAAGCAGCGTTGGCGTGGGCCGGCATTTAGAGCGGATACGCGTTTATTTGCCACGATATTGTTATGTCTTTAAATGATGCTCGCAAATACATGATTTTGCTTCAGATGTTTTTTTTAACGGAGCTATTGGGGACAGAGGACGGCGATGAAGCGATGGAAGGCTGACTGGCTGCGGAACAGGGTGCAGAAAATGGTGACCCGAGAGAAGCGTCGTTTTGCTATGTCATATGTCACTGGTCTGAGCTCACAAGTGACCTTTGTAATGATATCACGCTTGGTACTGCCGACAGGCTTTCGAACATACCTGCCAGCGCTTATGCACTCGCTGGTTTTTCACTACGTAGTGCATTCGAGCCGAAAAAAATTGTTTCATTTTGTGTTTGCATCGCCGTCAATCAGCATTCAGATGTCCTCGCTTCTCCGGAGGGACCTACTAATTTCGTGAGAAATGTCTATTAGAGCGGGAGGTCAGCGGGCAGTGGCTCCCAACCCCCAGACACTCCCAGCGCCGAAAGTCACTGGCTGCTAGCGTGACCTTTCGAATCTTGCAGAGCAGCCTTGGTCAGGGCCGCGGGCAATGACCTGGCACCGCCGGGGAAAACCCAAAGGGGCAGCTGAAGCAGTGATACGTGCGCCAGCTAGGACCGGGAGCCCGCACACAATTTCGATGAATTCAATATTAGGTGCCTGCACACAGTTTGATCTGCAATGTCTTAGGAACTTACCCCGGTATATTAAATATCTAGCTCCTGTGAACCGGATAGATGAATCACATGAATCGTCACAGCAAGCACAGTAAATCGACAACCTAGGCGCAAATGTTCTTCAATGCAATTTTGTACTCGTCACGATTGTAATGTTTGACATTTACTCTGTGTTACTTCAGATGTTCAGCGAATTCGCGAGGGATGCTATTCACATAGAAAAGACAGAAGTAATGGCCTTAGAAAAAAACCAGAAGAATGGAGATATAGATGGGTTGGGAATTCGGCAACATGCCTTTGTGGACTTCTGTTACTGTTTTGATAACAGGCATGCTGCCGAAATATCAACCCATCTATATTTGCATTCTCCTGGTTTTTCTCCGGGGAATAAGGCTAGTAATACTGCCTTATCCGTGCGACTTCACTTCGCGGCAGTACAGTGAGGCCCCTGTGATCACGGGCACACTCACGAGCGCGGCCGAACGGCGCTGTTCCGTTGACCTTGTCCTTGACCTTACGCTGGCGACCTTGCCCCAGGCGGTCGGCCGGGCCAGCTGAGCGTTTTGCCCGGCCGCCGAGCGCGCGGACGCAACGGGTGTGTTGCTGACGCACAATGCAGCAATCAAAAACTAAAATATTTGGGCGTCTCGACCAGGAGTGAGTAAAGAGTGGGCAGGAGAATAGCATATTTCTTAGATGGTGGTCATGGCTCCATCCTCAGGTGTCACATGGAACCACGACTACCGAGCGGATTGGGTTCAGAAGAAACGCTGCCTGTTAAAACCTCTAGTGCTCGACTTGACTTCCCGTACTGACAGCCGTGTTTGGAGTTATGACACGGGTGGGGACCCGTGTTGCAGCATAGCTCACGTGCTAGCCTTTCTAGCGTACATTTCTAAAAGCCTTCAGAGGGTATAGGTGTGGGGATGACTGTCCGTTGTAGCAGGCTACAAGAGCATATGCCGATTGGAATAAAGCTGGCCACTATCAAGAGGACCCAACATGAGCACGCGTTCGATGCTATCGTACATAACACATATAATTATTTCTTTCACCGACCACGCTTCAGCATTCCAAACGGCAGATGGCAGTGGAGTGCAAATGCAAAGAGCGCACCCCACGATGTTTGCGACAGGTGTGCAGCTGCGTTTGGCAGCCTTGCGTCACAGCCAGCGCGACTGACACATGCGCTAATGTTGAGTAACGTCGGGTGAGGTGGGGCAAGACGCCCCGCCAGGGTGAAACGCCCCATCAAGATATCTTAGAATTTTAAAATTTCCGGGGAAACACTTTCTGCCCTGTTAAACAAACAACGTGGTCAGTATGCTGGCAGATAGTGACGGGGCTGGTTGATCACGTTGGACAGATATAGGTAAAAATGTGCTTGTGAGTGTCTTCTTTCTATTTTTGGGTTCCAGTGCTAAGTGAAGGCAATCGTTTATACCACACTGCAGTTCAGAATCGTTAATGCATATGGAGAGATCATAACTTGGACCCAAAATTGCGTTACTGTTTGGTGCTGAATTCGTGTTGGTTCTCCGTTCTAGGCGCCGCTGTCTATCCGAATGACTGGTCGGAGCAGTACCCACAATAGGTCGTGAGGTAAAAAGCCCCATGGGGCGTCTTGACCCATGTGAGCCTTTAATTGCCAGTTTCCTGTTATATCGGCTTTAAATGACTAGTTGACCGTAGTTTAATCTGGTTAACTACTTTAACACTTTTAAGGGACAGAATTTTGAGGATAAGCAATGGCAGGAAGATAATGATATCGGCAGTTGATTCACATTTTAAACGTAGAAATTTGGTTAAAGTTAACAGTCATATTATTTTTCATATTGTAATTTGGCAGCGTGCAATTAAAATGCCTTTTTGTTTCAGGTATGGTGCGGACATACAGGCCAAAATTATAGCGCATGAAAAATGACGAAATGGCCATTAGAAAATCTCTGGACGATCTCAAAAAAGGACTGGGTGTGCGGGAGGTGTCACGCAATCATGGTGTGCCGCTTAGAACACTCTGACGTCATTGCGACGGTAACGTGAAACGTCCGTGAGAGCAGCATCTTGGAAGGTACGGCACAGTGTTCCCTTCCGATGTGGAAATGTCTCTCAAAGAACACATTTTTAAGATGGAAAGTCGCCTTTTTAGCTTGGCTACCGTGGACGTACGGAAGCTGGCATTTAAGTTGGCTGAACATGCGAAATTCCCGCATCCGTTTCGAGATGGATCCGCCGGAAAAGAATGGCTATGCAGCTTTCTGAACCGCAACCCAGATATCAGCCTCAGAAAGCCGCAAGGGACCGGCATCCATCGGGCGACTGGCTTCAACAAAGACATGGTGGGTCAGTTTTTCAAAGTCCATAAAGATCGTCTTGAAAAGTTCAGGTTCGAGAGCTTGCAGGTTTGAAATATGGACGAAACTGGTGTTTCCACTGTTCAGACACCTTCAAAGGTTTTGGCCAAGTGTGGGAAACGTTGCGTCGGGGCGCTGGCTAGCGCGGAAAGAGGCGAACTTGTGACAGTTGTTGCTGCTTGCAGCGCCGCGGGACGTTTTACACCTCTGATCATTGCCTGGCCGAGGAAACGTCTGCTGGACAAGCTCATGAATGGGACACCTCCAGGGTCCATCGCTGGCACCAGCGATTCAGGATAGACGGACGGCGAACTGTTCGTGAAGTGGCTGGTGCATTTTCAGCAGTGGACGCAAAGCAGCATCAACAACCCACAGCTGGTCATACTGGATGGTCACCAGTCCAACAAGTATCTTCCTGCCATCCTCTACGCCAGGGAGCATTACATACATATGCTGACCCTGAAACCGCATTCTTCGCACAAGATGCAACCTCTCAACCGAACCGTCTTCAACTTACTCATAGCCGGCACCAACGTCGCGGCAGAGAACTACCTGCGGACGAGTCGCGGCAGAGGCGCCACTATCTACGGGATTGGGCAGCTGATCGGCAAAGCGTTCAACCGGATGGCAACACCCGAAAGAGCCATTAAGGGCTTCGAAGTGACCGGTCTTAGGCCATTCGACCAAAACGCCCTCACAGAGGAGAGCTACGTGCCATCGCTGCTGACGGATGAAGCAGAGCCCAGTGGATGTGGAACTGACGGCGTTGGCTCTTGCGGAGGAGCTGGCGCGGCTGGCAGCGATGGTCCCAGCGGGGGAGCTGGCGCGAAGGGTGACGCAGGTCACAGCGGGAGAGCTGACGCGGAGGGTGACGCAGGTCGCAGCGGGAGAGCTGGCGCGGAGGGTGACGCAGGTCGCAGCGGGGGAGCTGACGCGGAGGGTGACGCAGGTCGCAGCGGGGGAGCTGACGCGGAGGGTGACGCAGGTCACAGCGGGAGAGCTGGCGCGGAGGGTGACGCAGGTCACAGCGGGAGAGCTGGCGCGGAGGGTAACGCAGGTCGCAGCGGGAGAGCTGGCGCGAAGGGTGACACAGGCCTCAGCGGGAGAGTTGGTGCGGAGGCTGACGGTGGCCCCAGCGGAGGAGCTGGCGCGGAGGGTGATGCTGGTCACAGCGGAAGAGCTGGTGAGATGGACGGCGCTGGCCCCAACGGAGGAGCTGGCGCGGAGGGTGACGCAGGTCGCAGCGGGAGAGCTGGAGCGGAGGGTGACGCAGGTCGCAGCGGGAGAGCTGGCAAGATAAACGGCGCTGATCCCAGCGGGGGAGTTCGAGCGAGTGGAAGGATTCTGTCTGCGAGGACGCTGCTAGGAGAGTTGTCACCCTTACCCAAGGTAGACAAAAGAAAACGCGGCCGTGAAGTGGAGAAGTCTGCGGCCTGAATTTCATCTCCGTCCAAAGAAAAGCTACCTGTAAGCTACCTCAAGAAAACAAAAGGCACTGAAACAAAGCCGTCGAAAAAGAAGTCAGTGCCTGACTCCGAGAAAGACGTGGCATGCATGATATGCTCAATGCGTTTCTCCTTCTGTGAGGAGTGGATTCAGTGTGGGAGCTGCAAGGGATGGGCTTGTGTTCCCTGCACTGATGCAAATGACACTCAGACGGTGTACGTCTGCGACCACTGCCGTGAGTAGTTCTTACGTGGTAGTTATCCAGACACGCTACCGCACCAGCTACCGTTACCGTTCGCCTACCGTTCAGCGCAGGTATGCCTGAATAAACGTTGATTGCTTTGCTACTCATCTGTTTCGATGTTGAGGGAGGTGATATCTACACGGTGGAAATGCTTAGTTAAATAACTGCAGGCAGATACGAAAATTGTTTAAACCCCGACTTGAATTTTTGGTGTCAGATGGGGCACTATTCCTGGTGAAGTCCTCTGCCCTTATACCCGGGGCTTCTTGCCCCGTGGCCCAGGGCTTCTTGCCTCATGGCTCGGGGCGTCTTGCCCTGGGGATGGGGCAGGACGCCCCACTTGCAGGCTTCTCTAAAATCGCTTCCCAGAGGTGCATGAAATGAGGAATGAGGAAGTGAGTTTTGCATAAATTAGTAAAAATGTTCAAAGTGTGCTTCAATAAATGCACTTGCAATGGTAATAAGATAGAACAAAGGATATTCACCAAAATGCATTTTCAGGAGCGTCTTGCCCCACCTTACCCTACTCGCCCGTCACATCTCACAGGTAGGTATCGCAGGTAAGCGTTCTACTAACGCAGAACGGGTCACACAAGCCATCGCCTGTTCAGTTCATGGCCGGGTGACCAGAATGCTCCAAGAGCACAAAGCACGTGGCTGGTATCATGGACCCGCGCTGCCCTGGAGCGTCACGAGGGTCAATGGCTGCCGTTTCGGCACTGCTTTCTCCTTATAAATGTCAAACAACTGTTGCTTTAAGGGTATCACTGTCAAACGCTGTGTGTTGCTACATAAGTGCTGTAGAATCGCTCAAAGTCAGGTTATATCTTTGGACATGCAATTAGGAAGACGAATGCTTCCCAGTCGTCAAAAGTGCCTTTCTCATTCGTGGAATTTCTCTCCCAAGTAGAAATGATGCCGAGCCGCATGAATTGCTTAGGATATTGGGTAAGCGGTTTGCCAAATGGTACGAATCAGGGTATAAAGTTGTGTACCTGGGGAAAAATCGCGGGAACACATCGAGACCCAGCTATTTACTTCTTCTCCAAAAGGTTCGGACTTCTCTCCAAGACGGAGGTGGTCCTGCAGACTCCCGCAAACCCGGTCGCCGGAATACCTTCGTAGTGAAAGCTTCTTGAAAGATTTCCTGCCCAGATTGCTCAAATTGACGATATCTTATTAAACCACTGTCGCTTTGCTATAACATAGGCTGTCAGATGTCAAAACTAAAAACGCTACCATATGTCCACATGTGTCGAGAAGCAATCAACAGGTACACAATTTATCCGCATCCAGATTAAAGACGACTCCTAATTGCGGGAGATAAGCTTTACTCCTGCTTTCCAGCTGGGTGATCCCTGCATCTGTGTCAGTGATGCTGAACACGTACATTGATAATGACGGATAATCGGCTCGTGAACACTGTTTATTACATGCACGACATGGTACACATTCTCCAAGCATAAGTTGAACACGTTCATAATACTCTCGACATCTACTTATAGCCTCCGTCAACACAAATTTAGCAAAAATACGAGTTAGCACATGCTTCAGCACAGTCAGCCATGAAAGCGAAGCAAGAAGAGGTGCAAACGTGCGAAGTATCTCATAAGCTGTTGTGGTATACGCCGCTGAATGAGGGAGGCGGTAGGTGAGCATCACGTGCGCACTGTTCCCAACGTAGGCGCGTCCAGAATGATGCGTGTGTTGGAAACAGTGTGTGCAAATCAGGATTGCTTCGTCATAACTTGCCTGGCTGAGACTCGGAGTTTGAGGCCACATTGCGAAAACGTAATCGCCTGTTTAAGGTGGCTTGTTTTCTTTCACGGGGCGAAGAAGATCTAGCAGCTATTCGATCCAGATCCCTGCCGGGCACTTCTTCAAGTTCTTTAGGTGCGTCCAGCAATCGTGTTTTGGAAGATCGATGCTTTCTCGGAAAATTTTGTGATGACACGGCTGACTTCGTTTTTCGAAGGGTAGTTCGGGCGACAAGATTTGTTCCACGAGCGGATCGAGACGGACTTTCATATATATCCACTGTCGTTTCCAAGCGTTCTCCTTCTCCGCGAGACTGAGAGTAATTGTTGCTCGGGTGGTGTTTGGCAGTCTTTCGCATCCATCCTGGTAGCTTTGAAACATCATAATCGTAACTCGCATCTGAGGTATCGTTCTCCTCTGACATTTTGATATCAACGCGCTCTTCGACCTTAGGTTCCTGGGAGGATGGTTTCTCCTTTGGCCTCAAGTTAACCCGAAACGTGCTTTTTTCGTCTTCATTAGGAGCCCGGGCCGCGGATGGCTTTACAACATAAATATGCTCCTTATTTTCGCTAACGTGCTGGCGTGGGGGCGGCTGTCCAAGGCTGGTCATGGCGTTGGCTGACGCTCCGGCACTGCTCGGCGGTGTGCTGTTTGGCGATCCACTGATCAGTACCGAAAGATTTAACCCCAGGTCGCTGTACAATGGCTCCGACTCCGAAGACCTCTTCCGGCTTCGACTTCCGAAGGAATTGGATTTCAAAGACATGTCCTCGGCGTTGCGGTACGGCTGACGCGGTTTCCCGGGTTTGTAACTTCGTCTCGACTTAAAAGGCGGAGGCCCCAGGATGGTATCGACCATGCTGAGCGTCTCTGAGACCCTGGCCGACAAGTCTCCGTCCTGAGGTGCCGCTGACCCGACCCGTGAGCCAGCTGCGTCCGATGCACGACTGTCGAGGGAGGGAGGCAGGTCAGCCACGGCACCAGGCGGCGGGGGGCCAGCGGCGCGGGCCATGTTGGATCCCGACTTCATGTCGATAGATCCCTTGATTCTAGATATGGCGGGGTGCGGCGGCGGGGTCGGGCTGTAGGACAGCATCGAATCGTCGAGAGAAAAGCCTCCCCTACTCAAATATGACGCAAAGCTCGGGGGTCTCAAAAGCTCCGGCAGATCCATCCCAGCTGGATCGCTGATCGCACTTCTGTGACGCGATGGATTTTTTATGATTCTGCTCACTGATTCTGATTTTATTTGAACACTTTTGTGGCCTGGAATGAGCGCACCGTCCTGCTCCGGCTTCCGTCGTGGCTGCTGAAGAACCTTGAAGTTTTCAGACGGCATTTCCTTCTTCAGTGCTGAAGGATCATCTAAAAGCGAAGAAAATGCTGGTTTATTACCCAGCTTTTTTTCTTGCACCTTTATGTTGGACGCGAGCGATCCAGTGTCTTGGCCTTCACCTTGAACAAACTGCGATGAGCTGTCCAATTCCTTCGTGATTTCTGAAGAGCCCTCATGGGCAACCACGCCAGTAGCGGAGTCGAATTGGCCCCCTCCAGCAGGCACGGAACCAGTCTGCTGGCTCGTAGGGTCGGAATCTAGCAGCTTACTGATGTCGCCCGTGGAACTGTCATCAGCGGGAGCGGAAGAGGCATATGGATTCCCAGGTGCGCTTCCTGTTTTATTGATGCTGGTTTGTGTTTCGCTACTAGGAAACTGCGTCGGATTTGTAACTGTGTTTTTAGTGGGTTGATTTATAGAAGCAGAAACTGCTTCGTGTTCATGGCCAGAAAGCATCTGGACAGAAGTGGGTTGCACCTCTGCCAAAGGTTGTCCATGCATATATGACGCACCGCTTGGCATTCCTAAGCGCCCAGCTAGGTTTCCATTGCTGCCGTCACTATTTCCAGTTTTACTGGAATATGGAAGCAAAATTTTTACATTGGACGTCTCCTCAATGACTTCCTCAGACATGGGTCCAGACTTCATACTGCTTTTGTCATCCTCGCCCGCGGGCAAATCCGAATTGCCAGAAGAAGGGCTGGGTTTAGCTTCAGAACCTTTCAAATCCTGGCTAGGTCTACTGGGAAGCTGTCCACCAGACGGACCTGGTGGATGAGTCTCACCCGGCGGTCCTTGAGGAGGCAGTGGCGGGGGTGGATCTGGGGCGGTGTTTTGGTTCGTTGGCACATTGGCGGACTGTTCTGCTGCAGGGGCTGAAGCTGATTCACCTGGTCCCCCTTGTTTCGACTGTTCCAGGCTCCCTGCCTGGAGCTGACTTGGAGGGGACGGCGCACTGGCGTCTTGTGCGCTTGACCCGTCATTCAAGCCCGCAGCATTTCCGGGCGCAGGGGGCTGAGCAGCGGTAGCAACTGGACTCGCCAGAAAACCTGAGACAGCCGTCTGTCCATTGGGAGACCCGCTGCGTCCGCTACGGGCTCCGTCCTCGGCCGCACCTTCTCCGGAGCCGCCTTTGCTGCCTTGCCCAAAGTCTACGTCCTGCGCCAACGAAATACTGGCGTAATCACGGCCACCCCCGTTTTCCTGGGCTGGACCAGTTGGCGACTGCTGACTGCCTGTCTGGCTTGGTGGAGCAGACGCCATGGAGCCATATGGAACTTCCTTTCCGCTTGCAGCCATGACTTTGAGAGCGCCTGGAACCGGAAAATGTGAGGGCATAACGTCCTTGATCGATGTCGCCCTTCCATCGCCACCCATGCCTTGAATTTTGAAGTCTTCTTCCACCTTCGGTAGGTTTCCACCGTTGGCGGCTAGAGGAAACGCGATCTTATCGACGGTTTGAACAATAGGCTGCGGGCCGGCCTGGTTAGCCGCGGCTCCCTGATCAGGCGGCTCGGCCAGTGCAGACGGCAGCGCAGCCGGCGCCGGTGACGGCGAAGTGGCACGCTTGTGCAGCTGAGAGATGGCCGACTGCTCCACCTGAGGTATTCTCGAAGACAGCATAGAGGTAGCGCTTTCTAGCCCCTTTGCCGCCTGCACCATAAAGCTGTCGCGGGCTTTGCGTCTATGCAAGTGCTTCGTAGTTTTCGTATTGCCTAAATCACGCTTGTAAGGTCTCTTGTGGATGTAAGCAGATGACTTTTTTGCGTGCCTTTTGTTTGTAAGCTTTGGACCCTTGGTTGGTTGTCTGTTCAAGCTGCAGGCTGTAGGGTCAGTGGCCTTTGACTGCAGGTGGTCGCCGCATTGCGTATCCAATGGCGGGATTCCCGGAATCCCACCCACAACGAACACGTTGGCCACATCTAGCTCAAAATCGTAGGGTTGCTGACTGGAGCTGGGCGTCGCTGCTTGAGAGGCAGGGGCTGTAGGTGCGGACTTGTTTGAAGGTGCAGTCGAATTGGAAGGAGGGACGGGAGGAACTCCTGGATATTTTAGTATGTCACCCAGCATCGTCAGCACCTGTCACGAAAAAATAAACAGGTTAAACTAATAGCTCAATGACAGTTTTAGCTTAAAAACAGCATTAAGCATACAGCGCTCACAGAAGCCCCATCCCTACACAGAAACGTAACAGTCATTGGTAGCTGAACATCTTTAACTCCAGTTACTCCCGGTAGAGGGCTCAGGTCACACCAGTACTGGCGAGTCCCTCGACCAGAGCACTCACTGGGTGAACTCTGGGTGAGGCTCCGGCCGGCATCCCGGCCGGCTGGGCGCTGATGTGGGTGCCCACCACGCTGATGTTCCGGTTCAGGTCGAAGTGCTGTGGCGATTCGTCACACTGCACGTTGAACCACCAGTCACAGGTGAGGTAGCGCTGGTTGAAGACCGTGCCATTTGGGCAAAGGAAGCCATCTTGCTGTTTGTTGTGGCATACCCAAAATGCCTGAAAGGTTAAATCTCTGGTTGGGCCTTTCACACATCTGGCCGGAAAACTATGTCAGCTAAAAACATCACATACTGCCAATACTAACAAGCCGTTGGGTAACTGAGGGTTCAAAGATATGCAAAAGTGGAGTAAAAAATGCACCTTGAAAGGTCCTTGCACGATCTCAGAAAAATGGAAACCAGATTTGCAAATTTTACCTGACACCTGGCCTCGTCTGAGATGTCAGCGTAGAATCCGTCCATCTGCTGCCTTCTGCAGTCGAACCCAGAGTCTGGCAGATTGATCAGCACCGGATAGTCGACGTGTGGCTGGCCCGGAATCGACTCCGACAGCCACTCAGTGCCGCCCATATGGCGACTCTCGCCCTCTCGCTGCTGCTGCGTCACCCCTGGACCCTCCGGTCCGCTGGGCGCGCCTGGGCCATCGTTGACGCCAGCGGGCCCTCGGAGCGCCTCGATGGGCTGACCCTGCCCGACGGACGGCCGAGACCCGTGACCGGCCGCCGCCACTGCCGGCTGGGAGTCCCGCTCCGGCGGGTCCGGCTGCGGCGGCTGACCGGCCAAGCTCTGCGGCGGCGCCGGCCGAAAGTCCAGAACCTCGGCGATGGAGAGTCGGGGCGGCCCCGGCTGGCTGGCCCCGTCTGTCGCCGGCGGGCCGCGCTGTTCCGGCACCGCAGCTCGGCCGGCGACGCGGGGAGCTCCCAGCCCCTCGCTTTGCTCGCTAGTCACGCCGGCAGGGTGGCCCGGCCCGCTGACGGCGCTACCTTTACGGGAAGCCTCCGAGGCCTGGTCACTTCCCAGCGGGGGTCCGAGCTGAGGCACGGCCGACGAAGTCTTGGACTGCTTCGGTGCGATGTCTGTTTCACCCTCCTCGCCGCCTGCTTGGGCACTGTTCCTCTGAAAGCCCAAGACGATCTCCTGTCCGCCAACGGCGGCAGCGGGTTTTTCGCCGGACTGCTGGGCTCCCAGAATGTCGCCCCCTCGCAGTCCTTGGGTGAGGCCGTCCGACGAGACGGAGCCTCTTCCATCCTGGCGGTCTCCGGACGCGGGGCTGCCGCTTCTGGGTGTGACGACGGTCAGCCTTAGGCTGATCTCTTCCGTGGCAGAGTCAGGAGCCAGGCCGCGAGCCGCGTGCGGCTTGGGAGAGCGCCCCACGACAGGAGCTACGGGGCCCAGCGGCTGGCCGCCCCCGCCTGGGGCCACGCCCCCGGCACTGCCTCCTCCGTGAGGTCCGGTCTCTAGCCGACGTTCGGGGCCCACGGGCACGAAGCCTAGCGGCAGTAGCCTCTGTCGCCCGTCCCCCCGCAGAGGCCGGTCGCCGCTGAGCCGCCCCTCGACACCATAGGCGTTCGAGCCGCGCGCAATGTCACGCTGCCACCCCTGGTGATCACCGGTCCCGCAGGTCCCGCGAAACAGGAACAAGCCTGCGACGAAACACGAAATGGGTTAGGCTGTTTTTGATATTTGGGGCCCATGATGTCTTCGCTCCGTGTATATGCATTATGGGAAATGGTGAATGGAGCTTCAGCTAACACTTTTTACACCACGCATTTTGAAAAGATGTCAAGCAGACGCTCTACAGCCTTAGTTGGCCCTGTTTCCCAAACTTCAAGGTAAACGCACTGCGTAAAGGTAATCTATATCAGAACTGATTTGAAAAAAATGCACCATCCTGTACGCCCACAAGAAGAATAGAAAGCAACACCATGGACGATGAAATGTGGAACAAATGTGAATGGGTCTAATGCACATTATAATTAGTTTTATCCATGTCTCACAATGGTGGAAATAATAAGTATAATAAAAACTGCGTCACATGTTATTCTCAGCTTCTGTAGCTCATATGTCCATGACCATTATTGTTTCAAGTGCAAGGTATATCATTGTTGCTGTGTCTCGAGAATCTGAAAAAGGATCTTAAAAAATGTCAGCTTACAGTGTCACTGCCGGATTGCATGCAGCTAAGGAGGCAAGGATGCCAAAGTGTTCCTGTAACCGGGATGCTTTTCTGCACTGTAATAGCTTAACCGAGCGTCTGCCAAGTTCACTTACCTGTTATCAAAATAAGAAGACACTCTGACATGCCGATCTGGAAAGGAAGAACGTAAGAAAGCGTCGAGCGTTAGAAATCGTTGAACACATTTGATGTTCCAAAAATAGAGATTTTGTGAGGCAAACTCTAGGAATAAGTAATCAGCCTTCTGGTGGAACAGTCAGACTGTCACAGCTTTTACAAAACATTCGTGCCAAAAAGCTGAGGAAAAATTGGCTTGTAATGGAAGACAGTGGATATATGTTTGTATCAAACCGCGAAGCGGCTATTATTTTCAACGGCCAATGTTAAGTGAACGATCTCCTTCCGAAATACGGATATTTGTATATATATATATATATATATATATATATATATATATATATTGTATATATATATATATGTGTGTGTGTGTGTGTGTGTGTGTGCATATGCACACATATAGATGCATATGTATTTGTATATATATACATATATATATATATATATATATATATATATATATATATATATATATATATATATTCATCAATTGGTGTAAGCAGGATAATAGGCATGATGTAACAAGCCTTCAAATAGGGCAAACATGTTAGGCGTGGACATATGAACAAATGAAGAAAAAAACTTTGCAATGTACATAAATATCCCTATATGCATTCTTGCACACACAGTTAACTTTCCCATTGACACTGCATTTAACCACGGTACTCGTGTGCCGGAGGATGGACATAGGGCGTTAGTTAACGTACCGTGATGTCTTCTAGTAATCCACATCTTGGGACGAGTCAGCCTTGGACACTAACAATGACATTCACACCGGAACTCGAATAAATATCAATGATTTGTGGCAACTGGAGTAAACGATTTGGGGAAATCGTGGTAGTTATTTGTTGGCGTGTAGTTTGTAGCACACTATGCGTATGATGCTTCTTGATGAAAAATGGAGGGTTTCGTTAAGTTCATTCGTTAATGTTCGATAGACACTCATTTGAAATTATCACGCTTGCTACCGTGATAGAAATTGTTAAAACGACAAATGGGCTGGCTCAGAAGGATAATATACACTGTTGCTTGCTGGATCGTGTACTTTAACGTTGGAAAAGTCGATGAAATCTTCTATTGAACTAAACACGATTGATGTTTATCTGTTCAGAGTTTACGGAAGTGGACGACCCGATCGGATTCACATGTCTGCTGAAGTTTTAAAGGACTAGCTTCTCTTTTATGATGATCACACGTGCACACTTCTTTGGGCGCTTTCACTGCATGGTGTCGCCTAAATAGCTGTCTGGATAACTATCCTATTTTTTCGAACAAGACCATGGGCAACGCACGACCATTTCTTTTCCAATGCAGGCGTAGTCTTAGAAGCATTCTGCTTTGTTTTTTTGCCCATACTTGTTACCAGAAATCGATTTCCGAAAGAGCTGTTACCCCTTTTGAAACACAAATGCCAGACAGAAGTAGCGTGCAAATGTACATTACTTCTTATCTGAAACCCTCGTCTGTTTGAGGGGCACACTGGTGGAATTCTGGCTATCCTTTCATAATGCGATTACTTACTCTCCAGTCATTGCAGTCATTTTGGTGCAACCGATGCGAATTTTAAGCGGCTTCATTTACTGAGCCCTTGCCAAGCATGTCACTTTTTCATGGCTAGAGCTCATAATCAAGCACTAAGCTTTATGACTGTTTCCTCCGCAGTCAAAGCAAAGCGTTGGCGTCGTGGATGTCCGCCGTGTATAGGAGTTGTAGAATAACCGTCGAGAATGACAGACGATTCCGCTGTGCTGAGTCGCGAGCACAGCTTGTTATGAGTATTCCAATCATAGCTTATCAATGGAGACGAAACCAATTCCGTTCAACCGGTAGTTTTTGCCGGATAGTGTTAACGCACCACGCAATTTCATGCTACAGTCCGCCCTGTTTCGTCCTAAACTGTATTGGGCAGTTCCCAACGTCTCAACGTTTCAATAGACGCTGATTCTATTTGACAAGATGCCTCATATATTGAACGAGCAAAAATGGGAAATCGATGGTGTGGTGAATTCTATCTAACAAAACCCACTCGATCTCGGTTACAGGATTAAGGGCGCTACAGCGTGAAATCCCGGTAAAATCTCACAAATATAAGGACGACCACGGGGCTCGCTGGCACTAGGAACCATGTCAATGAGCAGACACCAAAGAACCTTTCCTCTCATGCTGAAATCCTACCAAAATGCTAACAAAAGTCATGGCCCAAAATAGGTCGGGATAAAATCAGGTCAGGTTCAGTTCAGGTCATTTATGACAGCGCCTTGCTTGCCGAACTACCTGATCCAGGTGTCACGGCGTTAGTGCCAAGGCAAAAACTCCTATATATTTTTCACGCAGTTCTAGCTTCATTTGTTTTGTTGTTGTTTTTATTTGATCCGAACCCCTTGAATGGATGGATTTCTGGGATCAGCGCTCAAGCCAAGCAGTGCTTGTTGTGCTAGCCCTGACTAACTTCACAAACGTGGCAGCTTTAAGTAACAGGTAGCTGATCCCATCCTCCCGTTTGGACGGTTTGCCGCGCATACGGGGATATGATAAACACGAGTTTCACTCATAGACGATTTGTATGTGTCACCCTTCTCCCACATCCTCGCAAACCTGACTGTTGAATAGGGCTGTACGCAGGATTTTATAATCGGGAGATGAGGTATAATAAAACGCACAAATGAAAACCAAATGAAATATGTCGTAGGCCGATTTTTCATCTTGTTTAACACTGGCATCGAAACACAAATATGAGCGGCCGAAATCCGGTGAGAAATCAGGTTTTGAGGTTAGGTAGGTCAGCCTTGCCGGCTGAGCCTCCCCCCAATCGACTGGAAAAGTGTCACCCCTGGTGACAAGACGTGAGTCCCTGAATGACTGGAATAATCGCGATGTTCGTGCGGTGTTCTTGACGTGTGGCGTTCATGGTAAGCAATTGTACAACCCGATAAAATCCTTACACCTAAAAGCCAACCGCTTTGTGTTTAACTGGAACAGAAGCCAGAAACTACCGGGAGATCAACGCTGCTTGCATTTCGAAGTCAATAAACTGAGGAAATGCATGCATGTATGTATTCACGTCGTAGCAGATTCCAATGTATCACGCATTCTATAAACAGATAAAATCCACCCTTAACTGTTACTGTGCTATGTAATGCCTTAAAACATTCCAGACTACAGGAATGCTCATTCATTCAACAAAAAGCACACGCATCTTACTTCCACTAAAAACACGTGCTTACGTCCCGATGCCATGCGGGAACTCTCGCTACCTGTGGCAGCAAAGCATGAGTGGTTAAGGGTCTTCATGTAGTTTGGCAGGAGGGTGTAGTCAACCGGAGCCCGGCAAATAAACTGCTGTTTGCCACTGTTCCGACGCGCCGTAGGCAGCCTGATGTCGTGTGACTGGTGAGTGCGTTTGCCTCTCATGTCAATGTTTGTGCGTAGCATATTTGCCAATGCCGATGGTTGCCCCGTTGTGATGATCTTATGAAGAAAGGTTTCGTTGTGGTGGGATGCCAGCTGCCTCACATTCAGAGCTGGAATTTGATTTATCAGATCAGAACTGTGGTCGGACTTCTGGCGGCCTGATGTCACTCTCACGTAAAAATTGAGCATTGACCGGAGATTCTTCAAGGTTGACTGTTCTGCGCTGCCGTGCACAGATATGCAGTAGCATATCACGGAGATGACCAAAATTCTGCACTGTTGCGCCCATACGTTCACTGGGAAGACTACGTCTGATATGATATGGGACCACAAGCAGCTCATTACAGCAGCATTTTCATACTGCCAATGTGGGTCGAGAAGGTGGGTGATCGGCCGAAGGTCAACCCAAGGTTAAGTGCCGTGCCGCTCTCCTCAATCATGTTGTCCCCGACGTGGATTGAGCCGGGCGACACGTGCCGTACCATTTGCTGACTGCCCATGACGATAAGTTGGGTTTTGCTAGCATTGAATTTCATGGCATGTTGCGCAAGTCATTGGTGCAATGTGGGGGACTGCTCGCTCCGTTTTCGCTGTAATCTCAGTGAATTCTAGCTTTGTGCCAGTTACGATTGTTGTCCTATCATCCGCGTATCGGACACCATAGACGCTGCCTTCCACATGGAGCCTGATGCCCTTTGAAACAGAATATTGTGTAACAACGTGCCGAGGGAGCTGCCCTTGTGCAACCGTATCTGATTTTCAATTTTGCCGTGATTTTAAAGGTCCGAGGTGTTTACAGGTAAACGTTACTTTCTGTCTGTGGTTACGAACACAGTATTCGAACCAGTGAGGGTGAACGTCATGAAGAAATAGCTTTTCAAGAAGCCTATCGCGATTCACCACATCAAAATATTTAGACAAATGAAACAGCACGAGCAGTGCGTTTTCGCCCCTATCGACAGCCCGTAGTATAATATCACTTACGGTCGTCCATGCTGTTTCGGTTGAGTGGTGTGTACGAAATTCGTTTCGTAACTGGGAAAAGAGGTGACTGGTGTCGAAAAAAGCTGTGCAGTTGCTCGTGGCAACTCGTTTAACTGTTTTAGCACTGCTACGAGCAATCGAGGTCGGACATGTGTTGCAATGCTTAGATAGAGATTCCATCGACTTGTAAACAAGTTTAACTAAATACATTTTCCAAGCATCAGGAACTATACCGGTGTTCTGGCTGGTGCTCGCCATGGCGAGAATATATAATAGCTGTTATGACGTTCGGGTGGACCTCTGCAGTTGTACCTGTTCATGACGCTCGGGTGGACCTCTGCTGTTGTGCCTGTTCATGACGTTTGACAAACTAAATGTTTCACATTGGCAGATATTAAAGCAAGCATCAGATGTGCTGAAATAAGCGCACTTGTAACTATTGGTATCCTTTGAAGTGGAAATAACTGTTTTAGACAACACGCTTTTGTTCAGCAAATATGCTCATCAGTACGTCATTGTATGGTTACGTCATCGTACCTTGCACAACATTGTGTGAGAGCCACCTGACACTATCCGTAAAGTTGGCGATTTATTCAAGAATTTATTCAGCTATACGAGTTCCGATTTCTCTGAAAACGTTTCTGGCGGTCAATTATGCCACCTGAACATCAAAATTTATATTTACATTGAAAAAGTATTTGACCTTCAAGGTCAAAAGCAACGTCAAAAGACGGGGAACTCCATAACACCAATAAAGCTACTGACCGATTTTAAACTTGCAAGCATCAGAATATTCAAAAGTGCAAGAACTATTGTCCGTAGAGCGGTCCTGACCTATCAATGACACCCTTCAAGGCCTTACTAAGGCTAAGGACGGTGAGCTCCATATCACCAAAAACATTACCGGCTGATTTCAGACTTACATGCACCGGTATATTTACCAGCGCATGAACTAACGTCTGACAATTAGTTCTGACCTCTCAAGGTCACCCTTCAAGGTCAAACTCACTCCCAAAGACGGGTGACTCTATATCACCAAAAAATTACCGGTAATTGTCAGCTTTCCAAGCATCAGAATATTCGTCAGTGCACAACCTAGCGTGGGCAATGAATTTCTTAACTCCTGAGGTCACCTTTCAGTGTCAAAGTCAGGCTTAAGGGACAAGGCACTTTACAGCACCCAAAAACAAAACAAAAACGGCAGATTTCAAGTTTTCAGGTATCAGAATATCCATCAGCGCATAAATTACCGTCCGTCGAAAAGTCCTGACCGTTCAAAGTCACCCTCCAAGGCTAAACGTAGTCTCAGCTGACGAAGACCTTCAAATCACCAAAAAAATTGCCAACCGATTTCTACTTTTTAAGCATCACAATTCTCACAAGCACATGAACTGTTGGCGGCTTATATAACGATTTATTCAGCGCTGTGAGCTCTGATTTTTCTAAAGGACGGCATGTGATCAATCATCACACGAGAACACCGAAAATAATGTTCATTTTGCACTATCATGGGGCCTTTCTTCCTTCGAGGGTGGCCTTGGCGGGTCAGGGCTTTTGGGCCAACTGTAATTCTTGAACTTGTTAATATTTTGACGCTTCAATAGTTGAGAATGACTGGTAATTTTTGGCGTAATGGAATTTCCCGCTCTTTGCGCCTGAGTTTGACCTTAAAGTGTATCTTCAAGAGGTTACGACTTTAATTGGATGCTAATTCTTTCTATGATGAATGCCCTGTAAAAT